ACACACACTTGGGAGAACACACACACACACACACACACACACACACAGATTAGCACTACACCCTTCCTTCCCTTCTCCAAACTTTCTCCCCTTACTTTCCTAATTATATTTTGCTTAAGTCAGTGTCCCCCAATCTGAACTCCTGTGTACACTAGTGCTAAAAGATGTTAATATATACATGTTCTAGAGAAACAGAGGTTTCCTTATTAAACAAGTTTGGGAATCACTTCCCCCCTGAAAGATTACAAGGCACCTTCAGCAAAAGGTTCCAAGAGGTCCTTCAGTTAAGAAACCTGCTTAAGCCACAGTTTCCTTTATTTAACTCATCATAGAGCCGTTTTGTGGAAGAAACTGTGGGAGAAACATTAACTTGGGCTAACATTAAAATAAGTGTACATTCCCTGAGCATGCTAGCTAAAGATTAAGAGAAATGTCCAGGACCTGTCACTGAAGAGGGTTAATTTAGTGTGAAGAGGGAACAGAAAACTAAGAGCTGGCACTATAAACTTCTAAAAGTGCAAGAACCAGAACTTCCCTGGTAGCACAGTGGTTAAGAATCCATCTGCCAATGCACGGGACACGGGTTCGAGCCCTGGTCTGGGAAGATCCCATCTGCCGCAGAGCAACTAAGCCCATGTACCACAACTATTGAACCTGCACTCTAGAGCCCACGAGCCACAACTACCGAAGCCCACCCGCCTAGAGCCTGTGCTCCGCAACAAGAGAAGCCACCGCAATGAGAAGCCCATGCACCACAATGAAGAGTAGCCCCCGCTAGCCGCAACTAGAGAAAGCCTGTGAACAGCAATGAAGACACAACGCAGCCAAAAATAAAAATAAAATAAATAAATTTATTTTAAAAAATTTTTTTAAAAATTAAAAGCGCAAGAACCTTAACAGAATCTTACAAACCAGAATATTTAAGATATTCAATTGTGACTCTTAGAGAATAAATTGGATTGTACAGATGTACTTCTTCCTTTCAATTTGTAATTTTTTAATTATAAAAATAATATATGCTCATTATAAAATATATGGAGCATTCAGAAAAGTTCAAAAAGGAGGAAAAAAAACTGTAATTCAATTACCTAGAGGCAATCAATTTAGACATTTTGGCCAATTTCCTTGTAGTCTTTCTTCCTATGAGTACAATTTAGTCTAAAGAGGAAATTTTTAAGTTATAAAGATCTATAAAAAATTAACAATCTAGTTTTTCACTATACCATATTTAAAAATGAAGCATGGTGCAGATGAAACAACAGCATGAGTTGCTAAATCATCAAACATGATCTAAAATTTAGACTTTGTCACTTACTAGCTATCTCTCCTGACTTTTAGAATCTCATTTAGCTTCAGTGTTCACATTGTTAAATCTGGATACCGTCAGCTGCCCCATGTTTTTCCTGCCAGGATTAAAATCTATGAAAACAGCATACATTGAGCTTAATGAGAATACATACTACGTTCTGTAATACGTTGTCTTCTCAGAACCTTCCATGTAGAATAAGCTAATTTCTAAAAATGAGAGATGGGAAAGTGGCAAAATTAAGGAAAAAGAATGAAAGGAAACAAAGGCTACATATAAGGCTAGAAAATCCAGACAAAAACATCTCAAAAGCCTGAGGCTGAGGATGCTTTGGCATTTCTGAGATATCATAAAGCACTCTCTATTACTCCTGATACTAAACATGCTCTTTTAAAAAGTGTTTTTAAGCTTTAAATTCTTGAAAAGTAGTATAGGTGTAAATAACCAAACTTAATTATAAAAAGTTTGTAATTTCTTACAAGCTAACTTAGTAAATAAACAGGTTTCAACAGTAATAGTAGGCAAAGTTTTTTTTTAAAAAAAACGATCATAGATTATTCTTTTCATTGCTTTATGATAACTACGTATGCTTACATTTAAGCTTGGGTAACAAGTTTTACCTACAAACTAGTATAATGTTATTCTAGAATTAAATAAAATTGTTTTCATGTTCTGATAAAACTAAATTCTAAGTTTTATGGCAACAGTTATGGCTTGGAGAGGCAGTATGGTAGACTACTTGGATCAGAAGTTAATAGACCTGGGTCCTATTTCTAGTTCAGACAGTTGGTTAGGTGTGTGACCTTGGACAACTCACAACCTTTCTGAGCCTTGGTTTTTTTCATTCATAAAACAATGATTATATCTGTCTCGCCGTAGTAAGGATCCACTGCCACTGTAACAACACAAGAGTCAAATATTAGCTGTCTTTGGCCAGCGGAACTGGGTAGGTTGAGAGTAGGACTTTCCTGTATTCCCTTTTATACCTTAGAAAGTTTATACATGCACAAGTATTATTTACCCCCAAAATAAATTAAATAGGCTGGTAAGATTCAGGACACTTTCAGAGATATAAAAATCTTCAGATTTCTAAACTGCCTTCAATGTTTTTTTTTCAATACTCTGTTCTCAGTTTTGTTATTACTCTCTTCTTCTAGCCTTATGTTTCATAGGATTAATAATTTTTACATCAAATATCAATACATATTTTATTAAAAAGGAATTTAAAAAACTCCTCTCATAAGGCAATACTGATATGCCTCCTGGATAAACTAAGATTATATGACATTTATAGATAATACTGCCACAAGTAGAATGGTAATATATTCATGCTTTCTCACCCTATTGTCCTTGAGAACAACAATATTTGTGAGCCTAAGGGTACTATGAATGGTCACAACAGAGAAATGGTAACTAACCTTCACTGCAATCGAAGCTGCGACCTTGGCATGATTTTCAGTGAGTTCATTCAGCTATCCACTCCTATATGCACCTGACACCCACATTGGTGACGGACAGCTACACTGGTTTCTTTTTAAAAGCTATATTATCTTAAATAACCAGGCAATTTAAGATTTAAGTTACACATTTCATTACCACACTATTGTCTTGTACATATTATTTGAATGTCTGTTTCCCTCACCAAGATTGTGAATTCACTGAGGACTTTAAAATTTGTCTTTTTAAAATCTGACTGAAATAGAAATGGACATGTGAAAACATACTGGCAAAAGCAAGAATACATCTTTTAACACTTGAAAAAATTTAATGGATAATGATTCAAACAACTCCATTTTAAATGAAACCATTAAATGCCCACCCAAAGTACCCCATTAATAACACAAGACAATTAGTTTTATACATCCATGAGTATCTTCTATATATGGAAGAAGATGTCATCTTCATTTTAGAGATGAGGAATCTGACATTCAGTAAAAGTAAAGAAGTATATTCAAGGTCACACGAGTAACTGTCAGAGTCAAAATTAAAATCTAGGATTGTTCAACTCTAAGGCCCAAGCTCTTTCCATACATGTGAAATTTGTAAAAAAAAAACAAACAAACAAACAAAAAAACAAAACAAAAAACCCTATGAATCAAATGTGTTCATTGCTAAAACAGAGTGAAAGGAGAGAAGCGCAAACACCATTCATAGTTTTGAAGTCACATGGTGTTAACATATTTTATAGTTACGGCATTTTATAGCTATAAATCTTGTTCCAAATTGGCAGATTCTTCTTATGCTGAGCTCTGAAAAGCACTACACTGAAATCTCACGATGATTTATTTGATGTATTATCGGACTTCTTCTTGAACCCCAGTCTATCCAGTGATACAGGATTTTAAAAAAATTAGAAATCAGTCTATCTGAACAACGAATGCTATCCAAATAAAATTAAGTCACTCGGAAAGAATCATCTCAGGTATCTTTTGCTCTTGTGGGAAATCAAGGATAGGTTGGTTATTTTTCCACAAATCCCAAGTTCTTTTTCAGCCAACCACTCTTCCTCTTCATTCACGTACCAAACCTCAGTGTCTAGCAAGCCTATTTGGAGCCCTAGTACTCAAAGCAACACCTTTCACAATGCGACCACGTTAAGAACTATACCACGGTTTGTCTAAATCTGTTTGCAAGTTTTCCCAATGGAACTAGACTGAAAAACAATGGGGAAAACTCTACAACAGAAAAACGTTTCTCTTATGTCATAAACAAGTTCCGATTGAGACTAGAAAGTGGGTAGCACGAAAAATATCATTGTGAAGGTTTTCATCAGAGACAGGTCTCCCAAAATGGAGAACGTGAAGACCCAAGCAAAGCATAAACTTAATGGCCAAGACCTTAGCAAAGATTGTAAGGATCGAATGAAGTATTCAACAATATACTTTAGTTCTAGCTCTTCTTTTACATCTAAATATGCACTTCAGTGAACTTTAGGTGAGGTTTGAATAGGGAAACCCGAATTACTTTCTTCTTAAGGGATATATGTAAAATGTCCTATAGAATAAGCATTAATGTACACGCCAGACCTCCAGGAACCATGAACTGAGATTAAGTCTTCCTTCCTTTACCGGTATAGAAACGACAAGATGAAGGCGCCAAGGATGCCAAGATTAAAGGCTTGAGAAGGGTCTCAGCTTCCTTTTCTCGAAAGAACATGCCCAAACATCTCGTTCTCTAGCCGGGTCCCAAGGAGGGGCTGGACCCGTACGGGGACCCGGATATGGCTGCCTGTGAGGAGCGCCCGGAAAGTAGAAGCAGACCCCGCTGGGCAAGGCCAAGCAGCAACCACCCTTCCCCCACTCACCTCTCGGAGCGCAGTTTAACTGGGGCTGTCCGAGTAACTGCCGCCATCACCACCGCCATCACTCTGGGTGCTCGCTAAGCTGGAGAAGGGAGACCCAACCACTCCGGCACCTCATGTAGGCCCTCTAAGACTGATGCCTGCCTGCAAGCCCCCACCCTTCGGTGCGGGGTTCTCATCTCAGACGTCGCAGTCACCGCCTCCACCTGCTTCGCCGGCGCTGCCGCCACTTCCGTGTTCGGGTCCCTCCCTTTCTTCCTCACTCCCCCAGCAACCGGCTTTTTCCCTGCCGGCGGGCGCGCAGCTGACGCCACCGCCCAGCGACCTGGGTCGGGACCGCGCCGGGCGTGGGCGGGCCGGCGCAGGCGCAGTGTGGGAGCAGCCGAGCGCGGGAAGCTCCATGCACCCGTGCTGCTTCTCCACCGGTGCTGCTCCTTGTCGCCTTTCCTCAGTCGCGGAGCTTCGGTGAGTGCTCCCTCCCGCTGCCCGCGTGCGTGCGGCCCAACGAAGAGAAGCGTGTCCTCTTCCCGGCTTAGTGTCGGACAGACCCATCCTTATTCCCTGTTTGTGCCCTTCGGGTGGGGGAAAAGGGGCTGCCGAGGGCGTGTCCCGCAGGAGACTAACCTCCCTTCTTCCTGTTCAGACCCCGGCTTTCCTGTCCTTTAAAATAATACTGACTTTTATAAAACATTTTCAGATAGGTAAAGGAAAAAATGCCTGCTACAAAGAAGCCGATGAGATATGGGCACACAGAGGGACACACAGATGTCTGTTTTGATGATTCTGGGAGGTAAGGTACTTTGAGAAACAAAAAGAACGTTTCAGGTGTGAATGTTAGAAGTTATTCTTGTATGTCATGTAAGCAGTTCTGCCTAAAATTACTCATCCAGATAGAAATAAGGTTTATATCTAAAACGGCACATAAATGTTTTTAGATTTACTGTTTAATTCAGACCAGCATGGCAGTTTTAGTATATCAAGAAAGCCAACGAGTGTGAAATCTTACTTCCAGAGGAGTTAGAATGATATGAGCTTTCCCCCACATTTCCCCTTTGTTCACTTCCTTTCTGCATCTCACATTATCAGTTATTTTGTCAGAACGGTAGCTGCCTGCTTGTCAAATTTAGTGGCCCATTCTAACTTTTTGGTATTTTATCCTCCCTTGCCTTTTGTGATGCTCTTTTCTTTTTAAAATTATTTTTAACTTTCTGACAACTTTTTTTCTAATTTATTTCCTCTGCTTCATTCCTAAATGGTGATATTTTCTCAGGGTTATTCTAGTCCCTGTTGGAGGGGTATAATCAATAAACAATCTGTGCGAGGAATATAAAAGAGTTTTATTTGAGCCAAACTGAGGACTATAGCCCAGGAGACACAGACTAAAGAAGCATTTGAATTGCATTCTGTCGGACTACAAAATGGGGGAGGCTTATAACAGCACAGACTGCAAAATTACATGTTGTTTGTGAGAATTATAATTGGAGTTGCAAGAAGTAAGGGTGCTTGTTAAGTAAGGATTAGGGTCCAATATGGTTGCCTAGTTATAAGAGGAGACCTTGAGACCATAAGGTTGCAGTTGGCAGCTGCTCTCAGATATTGTTTTGAGAACAGCTGGTGGTATCCTTGAGTATGATACAGTTAAGAAAATTCAAATTCTCAGTAATGTAGGAACGTGTCTAAAACCGTATCCACAATGGCCACCCAGCTCCATTATTGAATGCCTGAACTGTAGTTACTCCTTTTTGATTTTTTTTTTTTTTTTTTGCGGTACGTGGGCCTCTCACTGTTGTGGCCTCTCGCGTTGCGGAGCTCCGGACGCACAGGCTCAGCGGCCATGGCTCACAGGCCCAGACGCTCCGTGGCATGTGGGATCTTCCCAGACCGGGGCGCGGACCTGTGTCCCCTGCATCGGCAGGCGGACTCTCAACCACTGCGCCACCAGGGAAGCCCTGTGGTTACTTTTATTCCTACAGTAAATGACAAAACATTGTAGGAAGAATGTTCAGACTACTCCAAAAGCCCTTCAAAGGACTTCTTAACTCTAATTCTTCCATATGTTTCTCATTAATTCCGCTATTATTTCATTGTAATTTCCCACTGGCGTCTCCAGCTGGCACCTCTAACATCTCCCTCGGTGCACCTAGCTGATACACCAAATAGCCAGTAGTGACGGGGATATGAAATGCTCCTCCCATCACCACTGGAGATGGAAAGAAATTGCTCTTTCTAGCGGCTCATGTCTGACTCCAGTTTTTTATCAGTTAACACCTATTGTCCTTGAAAGGAGGTGTTATGTTACATCAGGAAAGGGTTGGAAAGGGAGAGATGGGTTATCACTGGTTGTCTTTCAGATTTACCTACATGTTGAGGTGAGAACACTATTCCTTGCACATGTTATACTACCAAACAAGATCATGGCAGAAGCTGGAAGTGCAAAGAAGTCTGTCAAACTCACCAATTTTGATGCAACTAATACTAATGTGTTTTTAAGTGAAAAATCAGGATGAATGCCAAACCAGCTGGATGCATAAATCAGGAATGTCCTGGGCAAACTGAGACTTATAGTCCTCTTATTTATGTCTTATAGAACCGAGACCAAGGTCCTTACTCTGGCCTTAAGGTCATCTTAAATAGGATGACCCCAATCTACTTTTTTTACCCTCAATTTTCTGGCCTGCCTGCTCCATGTAAACTCCCCTATGCTTTACTAACTTCATATTTTGGTTCATGTAATTTTGTCTGTTTGGAACTGTCCTTTTTACCAATCTCAGCATATCCAGTCCTACCTGTCCTTTAATTTCCCAATGTAAATACTTTTATGAACCCTTCTGATTTTCCAAGTGGGAATTAATTTTTGTCTTCTGAACATCCATAGTTTTTTATATGGCTTCTCTTTGCCATTTACCTTTTTAAAATTATTATTTATTTATTTAGGCTGCACCAGGTCTTCATGCAGGACCTTTGTTGTGGCATGTGGGCTCTTAGTTGCAGCCTGCAGGTTTCTTAGTTGTGGCCTGTGGGTTTCTTAGTTGCAGCATGTGAACTCTTTAGTTGCGGCATGCATGCGGGATCTAGTTCCCTGACCAGGGATTGAACCTGGGGCCCCTGCATTGGGAGTATGGAGTCTTACCCAGTGGACCATCAGGGAAGTTGCACCATTTACCTTTTTTTTTTTTTTTGTGGTACGCGGGCCTCTCCCGTTGCAGAGCACAGGCTCTGGACGCACAGGCTCAGCAGCCATGGCTCACGGTCCCAGCCGCTCCGCGGCATGTGGGATCCTTCTGGACCGAGGCACAAACCCGTGTCCCCTGCATCGGCAGGCGGACTCTCAACCACTGCGCCACCAGGGAAGCCCCCCCTTTTTTTTTAAATGTGAAAATCTCGTTTTGTGTGTGTATGTGTGCTTTCTAATGACATTAGCTTATTTTCTTTCTTTTTTTACATCTTTATTGGAGTATAATTGCTTTACAATGGTGTGTTAGTTTCTGCTTTATAACAAAGTGAATCAGTTATACATATGTTTCCATATCTCTTCCCTCTTGCGTCTCCCTCCCTCCCACCTTTTTTTTTTTTTTTTTTAAGTACCAATGTTTTATTTGGGTGATGCAAATACAGAGCATTGAGAGTGAGAAAAGGGACTCGACTCAAGGAAGAATGGGAGGCAATGCCAGGTGATAGATTGAGTCTGCTTCATGACAAGCCTGGAAGAGGCACAGAAGGTGTGTCCACTGGCTACTTGGGAGGTCTCCCCACTGGGAGAAATGGTGTCTTGCACCAGTTCAGGGAAGGGAGGGAAGAAGAGGGAATTTATCGTCCTGGATTTCTCCCATCTCCCATTAGTTAAATATTACCCCAGGAGCACTAACTCTTCCACATTCCTGGGTTGCTAGTGGGTACTTGAGGTGCCAGATCCCATGTCCAGTGGGGGCATTCCATCCAAGTCTGGAAATGATGGGAGGAGGCAAACTCTGGGCATGAGGCTGGTGAGTGCCGGAGAGAATCTGATTTTGTACATAAGATGTGTTCACAACAGTCCAATACTGTTTTTCTTTTACCAGAAGAGGGAACCTGACATAATGATCAAAGACCTTTCCCAAAGTCACATGGCTAGTAAGTGGTAAATTCAGGATTTGAACATAGTCTGTCTCTGGAAACTGTCAAAGACCAAGATAAGGAACTTGGATTTTATGTAGCAGGCAAAGGAGAGTGGCTAAAGGGTTTCAAGCTGGGAGTGACATAAGATAAAGAGCTTTTTATAAAGCTCCCAATCTCTACTTTGCTCCATCTTCCCATGTGGCTGAACTTGGCACAAAAGTAGGTGGCCCCAGAGATGTGAGGACACCCAAGACAGTTTTTGAGGAGCCCCGACTAGGTCCAGAGCTCATATGGGCTTCCACACTGTCTCATAATCTTTCTGTCTTCATCAAAGCCTACACCTACCAAAGAGACTAGCTGGTCAGAGGCAGGCAGGATCTGAGCAGAGAAGCCAAAATGAGGGGAAGAGCAGATTGACCTAAAGACCAGAAGCAGGAGGACCAGCCAGCCATACGTCCACTGTCAGCCGGTGGGTCTGGGGATGTTGGCACCCACATACGAGTCCTTTGGTGTTGCCTGAGATGGTCAGATCTCATGAATTGTCGGCCGCACTGGTCACATTTACGTCGTTGGTATTTGGTGTGTATCCGAGTATGTCTTCTAAGTTCATTGGAACGGAAGAAGGACCAAGTGCAGTCTTCTCACATGCATTTATAGGGCCTTTCACCTGTGTGTTTGCGTTGGTGACTCACGAGGTGGGAGTGCTCAGTATAAGCTTTTTCACAGTTCTCATAGTCGCAGCGGTAAGGCCTTGAAACTGGGGGTCTTCTCCTGGGAGCCCTTTCTTGGGCCCCGGAGTACTGCTCTGCTCTCTGTGGAGCAGGTAAGGCCTGCTTAGGTAGGAAGGGGTCTTCCTGGGAGACTGGCTGTCTCACAAGAGAGCCCTGGGATTCCAAAGCCAGCAATAATGGGGATCCAGCTGGGGGCATCGCAAAGTTGTGCGGTTTCTAGGAGGCAACATCTGATCCAAAGAGGGGAGCATTGCCGGGGCCTCAGTGGAAGGCATGGTTGGATCCAATAATGTTTTAGGTGTTAAAGGGCCTCTGTTAAGAAGTTACTGTTGGGAGGCCAGAATAAGGCATTGTTCACATTCTGATGTGGGACATCATTGGGATTCCACTGGCAGGTGAGAACTGGCGGCCCATTGGGGGGCATCCTTAGATTCCCACCAAAGGTCGGGGCCACCCCTGGAATACTGGGCTCTCCTAAAGGCATCACCTGGGGCCCCTTGAAAATCATCATTCCTGGCTGGGTAGGAGACATTCCCTGAGTGTAAATCATCTGGGAAGGAGTGAAAGTCACTTGAGGGCAGTAGCTCACACCGTTGTCAGGCAGCGACATACTGAAGTGTGGCCCCATTTCACTGGCATTCTGCCTGGGTGCCTCAGCAGAGACCAAGGGGATCCTCTCCAGCTCTGTGCACTGAGGAGCATGTTGAATGCCTGATGGGCCATGATTCCAAGAGGTGTGCACTCCACTGCTTCTGGAAGATGAAGACACGTCCAAGATGGACATTGACTTCTCAGTATCCTGAGTGGGAATGCTGTGGGCAGGTCTCTGAACTGGTGCAGAGCCACATGCCACTGGCTTAGGCCCTTGGCTCCCTGCTCCATCTTAACCTGGGATCGGTTGCACATCGAGACTCCACCATTTACCATTTTATTTTTGTATTTTATTTGCTTTTGTATGTGCCCAGAGAGGACACATACCGAATGAAGAAAAGCACTCAGAAAACAATTTGGGAGTTGACAGATAGCCATTTGAATAATCGCCTTTGGATAATTGAGCTCTTCCATTCATCCATTTATTCATTCAACATTTATCAAAGCTTCTATTTGTTAGAGACTACTTTGTGCTAGAGACACAATGGTAAGCAAAGTAGACCTGGTCCCTGTTGTTACAGAGATTACATTCATTTTTCTTACATTGTTACAAATATATAAGGAATTTTATGCCAAGGAGAAACTGTAGAAAGCATAAATTTACCTTTCATTTTACAGAATAGGAAGTTAACAGTCCTTGTTATTGAGGTTTATGTATGTAAAATGAGGAAACATATTGGCTAATACCTTGATTTTATTAGAAAAGAGATAAAGGAGCATTCCAAAAAAATTAATAAGCCTAAAACTGGGTGACTTTTTAACGAGTGTGTTTCCTTCACAGTTGTATTGTAACTTGTGGAAGTGATGGTGATGTGAGGATTTGGGAAGACTTGGATGATGATGATCCTAAGTCCATTAATGTTGGAGAAAAAGCATATTCATGTGCTTTGAAGGTATTAAAACAATTACAGCAACTGATATGAAATGTTACTGCCATGTGATGTTTTATACATGGATGAAAAATACTTTCATAGAAGTTTTGAATATAGATAAACTTTTTCATTTCTCTTATGAAATAATAATATTTAAAAATGTGTAATAATGCCATAATTTGCCCAAAACTTTTACAGGTAAAATCTGAATGGTTTATTAAAGGTGATTAATGGATAGTAATGATGAGCCAATTAAAATATATGCAGGAAATTATACTTTATCTTTTAAGAGATTTAAATGTATCTTTTTTTTTCTTTGAAGGAAAACTCAGTGCAGTTTCAAATTTTTAGCTCACTAATTCAGATAATGAGGAATTGTACTGGAAAAAAGGACTGTTTCATTAACTTTTTCAAGATATATACTTATTTCACATTTCTAATGTTTTATGTAAAGTAAATATAGGAATGAGATGTACTTGGAGAATGGAGATATGTTTTCAGAAGGACTTTGCAAACTAAGTATCTAACCTTTTTATTTGTGATGAATTTTAAGTTGAGTGTATTGTATTTGGATAGGAAAAAAAAAATCTTTCTACAGAATTCATATTTTTTTCAAACCCAGACTCATTAAGGTAGATGAGATGGTCTTTAGATACTTTAGATGCTTTTTAAAAAATGGTCATATATAATGGAAAATGTATTCCTAGGAGAAAAACTATAAATGACTAATGTACATTAAATATGAGATAAATCTCACTAATAAGCAAAGAAATGCAAATTAAACAATTGGATTTTTTTTCCTGTAAGATTGTCAAGGATGAAAAATATTCCTGATCCCAGTAATAGTGAGGGCTTGGAGAAGTATTTATAAAGGAAAAACAACTGTTTTCCTGTGTTTCTCCTTTACTCTCACACTACCATGCTCACAACACTTCTGACACCAGATACATGGGTTTTTCCCCATATCAATAAGTTCTTTGCAATACTGGGTGTCCTACAATTCAGTTCAATTTTGACATTAACTGGAGTTAGCTCAGACCTCACAGGTTAAGGTCTCAGTCCCACAAGACTATCCCCCACTTCAGACACCAGTCGCGAGTATTAGGTCCCCAGATTACCTACAACTTCTGTTCAGCTTGGCTGCAAATGGGGATTTCCATGACCCCCTCCTTGGATAAGATCATTTGCTAGAACAGCTCACAGAAATCAGGGAAATAAGTTTACCAGTTTATTACATAATAAAGGATACAGATGAACAGCCAGATGAAGAGAACATGGGGTGAGGTCTGGAGAATGGAGATGTGGAGTTGGGGTGCACCACCAACCTGGAAGCTCCTTGAACCCCATGTTATTGGGATTTTTATGGAGGCTCATCACATGGGCATGACTGATTATTAACTTCATTTCCAGCCCCTCTCCCCTTCCTGGATGATAGGGGTGTGGGACTGAAAGTTCCAAGCTTCTGATCATGACTTGATCGTTCTGGTGACCAGCCACCATCCTGAAGCTATCCAGGAGCCCATCAAGACGCACCTCATTAGAACAAAAGACATTCCTATCACCCAGAAAGTTCCAAGGAATTTGGGAGCTTTGTGTCAGGAATCAGTCAAAGACCAAAGTTTGGAACAAAAGATGCTCCTGGTGCTCTTATCACTTAGGACAGTTCAAGGGTTTTAGGAACTCTGTGCCAGGAACTGAGGGTAGAGACCAATATATAGTTTCTGTTTCACAGTATTTTCACACAACAGTTGCTGGAAGTATAACTGATGAACTTTTTTTGGAATAAATTGATAATGGTGTATCACAGTTAGAATGCACACAGTCATTTCTGGCTATTTACCCTAAGGAAGTACACACATTCATTTCTGTGGACAAGAATATTAGTAAAACCATTGTTTATAATAGCAAAAGAAACAATTGAAGTGTCCCTGAATAGAGAATACATTTTATAAATTTTGGTAGTCATATAATGTAATACTATGCAGCCACGAAAAAAATGCGAGAGTGCTGTATACCTTCATTTGGAAAGATGTTTACAATTAATTGAAAAAATGAAAAATAGAGTTTCATAACAGTCTGTTATAGAATAGTCTTATGTTTGTTAAAATAAAGGATTTAAGTACACAAATATTTGTAATTTGCATATCTATAGAATAAAGTTAAAAAGACTTAACCCCAACATGTTAATGGAAATTGCTTCACAAGAGTAGGGAAACTCACTGTCTGCTCACGACAGTTTCGTGTTTTTTTTCCTACAATAAGTATGTACTGCTTTTGTATATGAAAAAGACTTTAAAGAAGAAAAAAATGAAAGTGGGCTTATGGTAGTTTCCTAGGGCTACGGTAATAGGTACCTGGGCTTAGGATTTAGACATGTCTTTTAGGGGCCACTATTCAACTGACTACAAGGCTCATATTCAGTGCTAAAATGTTTGGCTTTAGGAATGGAGTTTATAATTCTTCAATGAAATGATGTTACCAAATAGCCATGCAAAGTTGACAATTTCATTTAAAGCATAATTGCTTATAAATACGTAAATACGTACTTTATGGATTCAGTGCTATAGGGAAGTACAATTAGGTGCTTTATTTGAGAACAAAGCAGAAAAAAAATCACCCTCCAAAATAGTGAAACTGGGATATATCAACATATTTGTAGGTAGTAATAGTTAACACTTGCATAGTATTTTACGTTGTCTTTAACAAAGGTAAGGAGAGGTATGTGGAATTATCTCCATTTTATTCTTGGGAAAATCAAAGCTCAGAGGAAAGTCAAATGACATAGTTAGGAACACAGTGGGCCCAAGTCATCCTGTGCTGGGTTCCATTCCTCCCTATCCACCAGGGAGAAGAATAGTCTGACCAGATCCGGACCACAGCTCCAATCCTTTGCATGGTTTCTTTTTTTTAAATTTTTACTAGTTGACACCGTATACTGGTAGTGATTTGGTTTCCCAGTAGATTTGTTTGAAAATGACTTCAAAGCAAGGCCTTTATTCAGGTCTCCCAGGTGAGTTAGTGCTGTTATATACGTTAACATTTTCACATGAATAGAGGGCTAGTTAAAGTTTTGTTAAAGAATTACCAAGATTATTTACTAGAGCTAACTGAGGATGCTTAGTCAGTATTCTACTAAGAAATCTGTCTGTGAAGTAAAGCACAGCCAAGGTTGCAAAATTTCTGTACATGCACACAAATAAATGGTTGGTGTTTCTGCAGTTTTGCCACTTAGCAGTATCAGTGTTGTGTTGAGTTGGTTATAGCATTTTGTTGATTCTCTTCTGGTTTTCACATTTAAATTATTGTTAGCTTAACTTCAACATTATGAATTTAGTTTATTATGGATTTAATTATATACAGTAGTTGCAATGTAGGCATAAACAGTATTTTTCACCAGTTTTCCAGTAATTGAACTTGAAGGTGTTTATCACAGTTCAAATTTGAATCATCTGTACTGTTATTTGAACAAATGTACACATTTCCCCAAATGTTGCTATATAGTAACATGTCATTGTATTACCAGGTTCTTTTCCCATTAGAATGGGAGCAGATGCTGTAGATAAGCTAAGGGTCCTAAGTGCGCAAATACGGCTGAGACCTATTGCTATAGGGTAAAGTATGTTCATTAACAAACTTGAGTAGTTTGTTTCTTTTGGTAGTTATCATTTAACATAAATTAATAAATTGACCATATGATATATCGAATTGTGTATGAGGTTGGTAGACTATGATTTAGTCCATCAGGACTTAATTCCTCCTGGGTAAGTAATAAAATTAAGGTGGTAGGGCAGATCCCTGACCTTTTATGATTCTTAGCTAAAAGCTGTGCAAAACAACGGTGTTTGCAGATCATTTTCGGATCCTAAAACTTTCTATTTAGTGTTTTTAAAACACTAAATAAACACTGCGCATCCACTGCAGGGGGCACAGGTTTGATCCCTGGTTGGGGAACTAAGATTCCACATGCCCTGCAGTGCGGCCAAAAAAAAAAAAAACAGGAGCCATGGATTCATGGATTCGCATTTAGACTTTACCCTACTCTGAAAACACATCTAATGATTGTTTTCTGGAAACATAGGGCAATACTAATTGTGTCCATTGTGCTCTTCCCTCATTGAGATTAGCTATGTTTTCTTGTTCTGAGTCTCCTTCTTATGACATTTGGGAATCCACAAAAACACTATTTAAATATTTTTCTTGCCAGAAGTACAAGAGAAATCAGAGGCTAAAAGTTTGGCTGATGAAGAGGGAATTAAATTTTCTAAAGGCAGCAAGTAAATTTTTCTTGCTAATAGCCATTTCAGAAAAATTATATATTGATTATTTTTCTCTTGACATGAACTACATTTATAAGTTTTTTTTGTTTTTTACCAGATTTTTAACTATGGAGAGACTCCCAATTAATTAACTAATTTTTGCCAATGTTTCTTTCATTTTTCTTTTAGAATGGGAAATTGGTCACTGCAGCATCTAACAATACTGTTCAAGTGCACACGTTTCCTGAAGGAGTTCCAGATGGTATATTGACTCGCTTCACCACAAATGCAAACCATGTGATCTTTAATGGGGATGGTGCAAAAATTGCTGCTGGATCTAGGTAAGGCTCTTTGATATCAGAAAATGAAATAATATTAGAACAAAATGGCCTCATTCATTGGATTCAGGGTAACATTTTCAGGACTCTGTACCTTCTTTGTTGTTGTTATTTAATTATTATATTCAAGTCTTCTTTCTGGTAAAGGTTTTTGATGACAAACTTGTGCTTCTTTGTGAATTGAGGTATATTGCTTTGCCGACAGGCTGCTCAGTAAATGCTGGAAAAGACTGGGGAAAGATGATAGTTGGACACAAAATTTTAAAAATTATTTTTGGTACAACCTAGACTGTACAATCAGGATTTTTGTTGTTTTTCTTGTTGCTTATTTGTCATAGGAAAAAAATGTAATTGATGAATTGCTGAGTTGGAGTAAAAGGCATAATGCTTTTAAAAATGGTTGTGGCTGTAATTAGATTAGCAAATAATAGAAGCTTAAGATCTAACTAAGGAAGCCACTTTCTAAAAGTATTTATATTTTAACATATGAGAAATCTTGAGTTATGTTTTTAGCATCTTTATAGACCAAAACTAAAAGGTAATATGGGTGCCAAATTTCACATGTTGCTATAAAGAAATTATGGCATTTACTCATTACTTTGAAATATTTGGGTCATAGCTTTTGAGAGTCTTTTGTATTGACATTTATTGATGTACGTTACACTTGTTCTTAGTGATTTTCTAGTCAAAGTTGTGGATGTGGCGGATTGCAGCCAACAGAAAACATTTCGAGGACACGATGCTCCTGTTTTAAGTCTTTCCTTTGACCCTAAGGACATCTTTCTGGTAATCATTTTTTTCCCTCTCTTTTTGCATTTTTTGCGAATATGTTTAAAACTGTGAAAGAATTAGCAGAAAGTTTCACACAATTGTTAAAAGCCTCTTTAATTTATCAGTTGAACCAGTCTCCATATAGTATTATGGCTGTAACTATAGAGAAATCTATTGTTTTATTCTGCAGGCATCAGCTAGTTGTGATGGATCTGTCAAGGTGTGGCAAATTTCAGATCAGGTAAGCTCATCAATTTGAATTTAAAGCTTTTTGCCTATTTCCATCATATATTGGACGTTACATAATGTATTATTGGACCAAATTAATAATTCTTCATAGTTTGTTTCTTTTGAGTAGCATTAAATACTGGTTTTGTGATCAAATTCCCCAACAATCTAAGCAAAAGTAAATATGTTGAAGACTAATTGATTCTGTATCTAATCATAAAGGGAAATTCAATCATTATATATTTATAAGCTAACTACCATATGCTGGTCCCCAGGTGTTGGGGATACGAAAGTAAGGCATGGGCCACACTTGATTTGGAGAGTCACATAACTTACTCTGACCCAGCCTGGTAATAGCTTTAAAGGAGGTATGGAGAAAAGGCTTTCTGGATTGGCAGAGGGAACAATGAATTCTTCCTGAGGCAATCAGAGAAGGCTTGGCATTTCTAGGAATGATGTAGCTGATGAGAAAAACATCCCTCACAGATACGCTTCAGCTCATAGCCACAGTTTCTTCCCTCACTTTTGAACTATTTAAAAGGATCGACTTTGACACCTTAACATTTCGTAGTAGATCTCTCAAGTTTATTTTCATAGTTACTTTAAGATTTTAATGTATTGGGGTTTTTTATGTTTGTGTACGTTTATTCGGTGAGTATACTGTTTGCTTATTCTACATAGGAAATACTCCTATTTGAGTTAATTATTTAAGACTTGTGCTCTTTATAACTGTGAAAAACATAAAGTAACTTAGGTGAATCAAATATTATAATTAGGTTAAAGTGAATTAAGTTGCTTTTTTCCGAGCTATCTATCAGTTTGAAGAAACCACTTATTAAATGTACTCAGTGCTGCATATCTTTTTTGGGGAGAATTTTCATAAGGGGAAATAAATTTTCTTTTTTTTCTTTTGACATTTTATTTTTCATTTTTATTTACTTAAAAAGATTATTTTTCAGTCACAAGACTTACATTTTCTTTTTTTTTTTTAAATCAGACATGTGCTATCAGTTGGCCACTGCTGCAAAAATGCAATGATGTGATAAATGCAAAATCAATCTGCAGACTTGCTTGGCAGCCAAAAAGTGGGAAGGTGAGTGACTCTTATTTTGTTTTTTGTTTTGTTTTTAAAATATTTATTTATTTACTTCTTTGGTTGTGCTGGGTCTTAGTTGCAGCACACAGGCTCCTTAGTTGTGGCATGCAAACTCTTCAGTTGTGGCATGCATGTGGGATCTAGTTCCCTGACCAGGGTTGGAACCTGGGCCCCCTGCATTGGGAGCACAGAGGCTTAACCACTGCACCACCGGGGAAGTCCCTTATTTTGTTTTAATTATATGTTCCAGTCCTTGTTATCTTTGAATGTAAGAATAGTTTTTTTAATTGTAACTATTTCATTTAGATTATAAATTTTAGAGCTCCAAGCAAATTAATTATTGAAATGCTGTAAGAAACATTTCAACTTTTTAAAGGTTCTTTTTTGAAGAGTACATTTGGCAGGAATGAATTGATTTTACCTTTTTCTTTACATTCATGTTTTTTTGTTTTTTTTTTTTTGTGGTATGTGGGCCTCTCACTGTTGTGGCCTCTTCCGTTGCGGAGCACAGGCTCCGGACGTGCAGGCTCAGTGGCCATGGCTCACGGGCCCAGCCGCTCCACAGCATGTGGGATCTTCCCGGACCGGAGCATGAACCCGTGTCCCCTGCATTGGCAGGCGGACTCTCAACCACCGTGCCGCCAGGGAAGCCCTACATTCATGTTTAATGGGGCAACTTTGGAAACAGTCTTGTTATATCAACTCTTACTACTAGTGTTTAACATTTTGGAGGTACTAGCTGATACAGTTAGACAATAGAAAGATATGAGAGGTTTGAAAGAAGGGAAGGAGAATGCTCATTATTTGCAAATGAAATGCTTATATATGAGGAAATCCCAAGAAAATCAACTGGGGGAAAAATATTACTAATAAGAAAATTCAGTAAGGTAGTTGGAAGCAAAATTAATATACGAAACCTATAGTCCTATATACAAACAGTAGCCATTTAGAAAACATGGTGAGAGAAAATAATGCACTAACTGTGAAATCAAAAAAGATTTTAAAATTTTAAAAAAAGATAAAATAACTAGGTATAAACTTACCAAAAAATGTGAAAGAGCTATGTAAAGAAAATTTAAACATGCTACAAAGAAGAGTAAAAGAAGACTTAAATAGAAAATATGTATCCCATTCTTTTTCGTTATTTATTTATTTATTTATTGAGGTATAGTTGATTTACAATGTTATATTAGTTTCAGATGTACAGCATAGTGATTCAAAATTTTTATAGATAATATTCCATTTAAAGTTATTCTAAAATATTGGCTATATTCCCTGTGCTATATAATATATCCAAAAGGATAAGCTAAAAAGCTTATATATTTTATACATAATAGTTTGTATCTCTTAATCCCCCACCCCTGTTTTGCCCTACCCCCTCCCCTCTTCCCACTGGTAACCACTAGTTTGTTCTTTATATTTCTGAGTCTGTTTCTGTTTTGTTATATTTATTCATTTTATTTACTTATTTTTATTTTATTTTTTAGATTCTGCATGTAAGTGATAGCATACAGTATTTGTCTTTCTCTCTCTGACTTATCTCACTAACCATAATACCCTCTAGGTTCATTCAAGTTGTTGCAAATGGCAACATTTAGAAAAACACATAGAAAAATATATCTTATTCTTAGAAATGAATTTTTGTTATAAAGATGTCAGTTCTTCCCTGAATTATCTATAGTTTTGAAGCATTCAATATAAAATATCAGTAAGATGTTTGGGGGGACCAAATAGAACTGATTCTAAAGCCATATGGAAAAGCAAAAGTCTTGAAAAACAAAAGTGGTAAAGTCTAATTCAATCAGATATAACATTATAATGCTATGGGAATTAAAAGTGTGATACTAATTCATGAATAGACAGATATCTATTAAACAGAGAGATCCAGTATATATGGGAATTTAGTGTATTATAAAGGTGGAGAAAAGGAGATTTAATAAATGTACTGGCAAAGGGCATGAATACCAGGAGGTGAGAATTACTGAGAATCATCTTGGAGACTTCCTATCACATGGTGAATCTCATTGTATAGGTATTTGCTGTATCATCTTTTTAACTTCTCTGCATATGTGAAAATTTCCAGAAAAAATTTATAAACTCAACAATATGAAAAGTAAAAAGATAAATATTTCAGTGTCAAAGGACAAATGATAAACTGAGAAAAAGTTTGAAACAATATGACAGAGCTAATTTCCTTAATATTCAAAGAGTTCTTATAAATCAATAAGATCCCAGTAAAAAGATGAACAAGGACATGAGCAGACAGTGTACAGAAAAAGATACACAGATGGCTTTTAACATATGAAAATACATGCAACCTTTCATACTAAAAGAAATACAAATTGAAATATGATTTTCTGTTTTTCATTTGTCAGATGGTCAAAGATCAGAAGTTTGATATATACTGTGTAGAAGAGGATGTGGCAGTTTTTATTAGAATGAATGACCAGTAGTACTAGTTCTAGGCATATATTCTATAAACATATTTATTCATATGCACTACAGAGTATGTATAATGAAAATGTTGTATCATTGTTTATAGTAGCAAAAGATTGTAAACATCCTGAATGTTCATTAATAGAGAACTGGTTAAATAAACTGTGGAATTTATTCCTGAAAATGGAATACTCTGCAACTGTTAGAATGAGGTATATCTGTGTGTCTTCACATGGAATAATCAGTCTTTAGATATATTAAAAACATCAAGCTGTAGAGCAGTAGGTATAGATAGTAGATAGAATGCTACTGTTTAATTGTGTGTCTACTTGTGTATAAGTACATATGCATTCTTATATGGTCTATGCTTATGTTTTTTGCCTTTGGGAAGTAAAAATAGGATTTAGGGATTGGAGGGAGACTTTCTTTTCAATGTATGACCTTTTGTGTCATGTAAACTTTTAAGGGTACATTCTGCACTAAAGTGATAGTTGGGAAATCCAGTATGTATTTCTTCTTTGCTTATGAAACAATCTAATTAATTTAAAAAAATTTAAACATAGTTTTACTATTCATAAATAATACATTTTTCTTCGTTTTTTGATAAGCATGGAAAGAATATGTCAGTTTTATTTTTTCTACTAATCTGTTTTTTGGAAGTATATGTAAGAAGATAAGTTTCCTTTTCCAAAGATATTCAAAGTATTTTGGCTCTGTTTCTCTCCTGCCAGCAAATAAGATGAATTTTTAGATCCAAAGGGCTTATATTCCTTAAGAAATAGTGTTAAAAATATTAGTGACTATAAGTTCTCTGTCTTTCAGTGCAAGCAATAATGATCATCTTCCATTCTTTTTTTTTTTTTTTTTTTTTTTTTGTGGTACGCGGGCCTCTCACTGTTGCAGCCTTTCCCATCGTGGAGCACAGGCTCAGCGGCCAAAGCTCACGGGCCCAGCCACTCCGTGGCATGTGGGATCTTCCCAGACCGGGGCACGAATCCGTGTCCCCTGCATCGGCAGGCGGACTCTCAACCACTGCGCCACCAGGGAAGCCCCATCACCCATTCTTTATCAAAATTTTAAGTAGCTTTCTGAGTTTTGTTAGTTGCCAATTCAAATACAAATTTGCTTTTGTGTTTTTTAGTCTTATTTAGATGAATTTTCTGCTTTTTTTTCTCTTTAAACTTAATTTAGTGTAAACTTTTGTTTAAATCATTTATCTTTCCTAATAGTTACTAGCAGTTCCTGTGGAAAAATCTGTTAAGCTATATAGAAGAGAAACTTGGAGTAATCAATTTGATCTTTCAGATAATTTCATCTCTCAGGTAGGTTTTGTAAGTGATACTTTCAGTAGGCTAATGGGAATAGTTAATGCATACTTTTCTTTAATACAATTACAGCTCAATATTGTTGGAAATGGAGAACAACTCCGGACTGCTGTGCATGTGTCCACCTTTTACCCCTCAGCCTTTCTTCACTTAGTGAATAACTAGTAGATAAGTCTTTGCTAGGTCCTATCTGACCTTTCTCCTTTGTGAAATTTGGTAAGAAAAATCTTTTCATTTATAAGAATTCAAATTTAACCCTAGCATAGTATTAGAATAGGTAATTCTCACATTATTAGTAATATTTATTGTTAAGTGAGTTTCACTGAGACTTGTGACTATGGACACTGGAGTTTTAGAGCAGGAAAGGTTGTTAGTCTGTGTTTCTTTCTCTCTCTCTCTCCCTCCCCCCGCCCCCTTCTCTCATATATACCCATTTTGCAGTTAGGAAACAGAGGCCCAGTAGGTCAGCAATGGCTTAGTACGATTCACTTCACTTCCTAGTTCTCTTCATCTTGATGGTGACTGCTAAGAGGATAACTTGTGTTGTCTTTCTTTCTAGGATAAAAACATTTTTTAGCTTTTGCTTTTAAAATTGTGCTAGTGTAATTTTCTTGTGATAAAGTAAAAGCTGCTATTACTTTGTTGAATATTATTGAAAAAGAAAGTTAAAAAGTAAGCAAACTTTGTCTTGCTGTTTATGTATCAGATTTAATTAGAAATTGCATACAATAAGGGTTATAAAAATTTGAATTTGGTAATATAATGAGTTTTTAGTTTTAAATTATATGAAATTATTATTTATTTATTGTTTTTCTTTACTAGACCCTAAATATAGTAACCTGGTCTCCTTGTGGACAATATTTAGCTGCAGGGAGTATTAATGGTTTAATTATAGTTTGGAATGTGGAAACCAAAGATTGCATGGAAAGGTATGATTCAGTAAATCTTTTGTCTCTTTTTTGCTTATTTCTATTAGATGTTTGGTTTTTTTATTATTAAACATTTCACATCTGCAATCATTAGATTGTTAAAATGCAGACATATAGCTATGTTTATCAAAACTTTTTCTAACTAAAATTTACCTAAAGAAATGTATAGCTTATATTTTTCTTGACAGTGTTTTAAGAATTCACTTTTTAATTTTTAGGGTGAAACATGAGAAAGGTTATGCAATTTGTGGCCTGTCATGGCATCCTACTTGTGGTCAAATAGCTTATACTGATGCAGAAGGAAATCTGGGAGTCCTGGAGAATGTTTGTGACCCCAGTGGAAAGATGTCAAGCAGTAAGGTAATAAGTAATAGGGTAGAACAGTTTCTTCAAAGTCTTTCTGTGGTCATATGAATTTGGGAAACACCACAAACTACATTAGTTTCTTTGAAAATTATAATTTATGTTATTAGATGTTCAGTAATGCTCTATCACAAAGAACGTTTAAACTTGTTTAACCTAATGTTTCCCAAATACGTTTTACTAAGGAACTTCTTTCCCTCCATATAATATCCATTAATATTTCATGGCTTTCCAAGGAATACCTTTGTGAAAAACTGTAATTTTTTAGTATCCTGGTGTTCTAGGTGTTTTTAGTTAAATAAATGTTTTATAGATGAAAATTAGTTAATAACTGTAACTTAGTTTAGCCTAAGTTTTTCTGTCATGAATTCCCTTAACTCTTAGAGCTAACTATATACTTCTTATGCTTAGCTGCACAGCCTGACTGAACTGCTTTAAACAGGCTGCCTTCTTTTCTGTTTCCTTGTTTTTGTTCATTATTTCCCCTGAGGTGCCACTTAGCTTGCCTGAGTCCCCAAAGATTCAGATCCAGGGACACTGGGTACAATTGAGTGGTGTTGGGTGAAGGAGGAATACTGTACTGAAAAGGTTTAAATGAAAATGTATATACTTGAACGTTGAAATTCCCAGCTCACTTTTCATACTTGGCTCCCAGAGTGTTGTCAGCCAGTCTTATGTTTTTCAGGCAGGAGATTGGAAGATCTTTGGGGAATCTGTGTAAGAAAAAACCAAAACAGAGAAATTCTTTATTTTATTTTATTTTTATTGAAGTATAGTGATTCATAATTTTTAAAGGATGTACTCCATTTATAGTTATTATAAAATATTGGCTGTATTCTCTGTTGTACGTATCTTTGTAGCTCATTTTATACAGTATAGCTTGTGCCTTTTAATCCCCTACCCATATATTGCCCCTCTCCCCACCCCTCTCCCCACTAGTTTGTTCTCTGTATCTGTGAGTCTGTTTCTTTTCGTTATACTCACTAGTTTGTTATATTTTTTATATTCCACATGTAAGTGATATCATATAGTATTTGTCTTTCTCTGTTTGACTTACTTCTCTTAGCATAATACCTTAAGCTCCAAGTCCATCCATGTTGTTGCAAATGGCAAAATTTCATTCTTTTTTATGGCTGAGTAGTATTCCAGTATCTATCTATCTGTCTGTCTATATCACATCTTCTTTATCCATTCAGCTGTTGATGGACACTTAGGTTGGTTCTATAACTTGACAACTGTAAATAATGCTGCTATGAACATTGGGGTGCATGTATCTTTTCCAGCTAGTGTATTTGGTTTTTTTCGGATGTACACCCAGGAGTGGAATTGATGGGTCATATGGTAGTTCCATTTTTAGTTTTTTGAGAACCCTCCATACTGTTTTCCACAGTGGCTACACCAATTTACATTCCCACCAACAGTGTAGGAGGGTTCCCTTTTCTCTACATCCTTGCCAATATTTGTTATTTGTGTTCCTTTTGATAATAGCCATTCTGACAGGTGTGAGGTGATATCTCATTGTGGTTTTGATTTGCATTTCCCTGATGATTAGCAATGTTGAGCATCTTTTTGTGTGCCTGTTGGCCATCTGCATTTCCTCTTTGCAAAAATGTCTATTCAGCTTTTCTGCCCTTTTTTTTTTTTTTGCGGTACGCAGGCCTCTCACTGTTGTGGCCTCTCCCGTTGTGGAGCACAGGCTCCGGATGCGCAGGCTCCGTGCCATGGCGCACGGGCCCAGCTTCTCCGCGGCATGTAGGATCTTCCCGGACCGGGGCACGAACCCATGTCCCCTGCATCAGCAGGCGGACTCTCAACTACTGTGCCACCAGGGAAGCCCTCTCCCCATTTCTTAATTGAGTTGTTTGTTTTTTTGCTGTTGAGTTGTATGAGCTGTTTATGTATTTCGGATATTAACCCCTTATCGGTCATATCATTTGCAAATATTTTCTCCTATTCAGTAAGTTGTCCTTTTGTTTTGTCAAAGGTTTTCTTTGCTATGCAAAAGCTTTTTGGTTTAATTAAGTTTCATTTATTTATTTTTGCTTTTATTTCCTTTGCTTTAGGGTTCAGCTATGAATAGCATTTACATGGTCATAATAAATCTAAATACTGTAAATTGATCCAAGCAAAATGAGAATATATCTATATTGGGTGGACAGGAGTAGAATGGTGTATATGCATACAAGGGAAGTAGTGGTGGTTGAAAAATGGCACCAAATCCTCATCTTTCTTAAAGAAGTTAGTAACTTCTATTAAATAGGTAATTAAAACTGAAAAATCAAAAAATTTCACTGGAATATGATTTACAAGTGTGGAGGAAAGTATCAAAAGAAACAATTGAGAGCAGAGAAGTAAGTCGGAGGCTGTGCAGAGGATTGTTTTCATTTTTATATTAAATCTTATAACACTGACTAATTTATATGCATGTCTAACGTTGATAAAAAAGAAAATTAAATTGAGAAACAATTTTTAGTTCAACAACAATGTCCTGTTGTATAGCACAGGGAACTATATTCAGTAACCTGTGATAAACCATAATGGGAAAGGATATGAAAAAGAATACATATACATATAACTGAATCAACAGAAATTAATACAACACTGTAAATCAACTGCGCGTTCGGAGCCTGTGCTCCGCAATGGGAGAGGCCACAGCAGTGAGAGGCCTGCGTACTGCAAAAAAAAAAAAAAAAAAATTAAAAATATTTTAGTTTAAAGGTCACCTCTCATAAAACCTTAACCCTTCTATCCAGAATTGCCCACTCTCTCCTTTTTGCTTTTACTCCTCATAGTACATGTTTCTGTTACAACACCTCTCACCGTAAGTTAAAACCCTCATTTTTGATAAGAAAGTCCGAGAAAAGTTCGCGCAGGCTCAGCGGCCATGGCTCACGGGCCCAGCCGCTCCACGGCATGTGGGATCTTCCCAGACCGGGGCACAAATCCGGGTCCCCTGCATCGGCAGGCAGACTCTCAACCACTGCGCCACCAGGGAAGCCCCCTCCCGAAAAAAGTTTTTGACCAACTTGAGTACATAAGCTTTTAGGACTATGGATAAAATAGTTAAATATCTTCTTATAGCATTTATCAATAGTTATTAATTTAATTATTCAAATCATTTGTTTAAACATATGAATTTAGAAGTATTTTTTCTGTTCTCTCATTTCTTTAAATGTCAACTTTCCAGAACACAGTTATATGCACTTCCATCTGAAAGATTTGTGATATAGTCCCTTTTGAATCCATTAATGGTGTTCTCATTAGACTTTTATACCCAACTATAAGTTTCATTGACTTAACATTGTACAGTTTTTATTCATTCTGTAGGAATAATTGTGATCCTTACAATGTATCTGCTTACTATTCACTTTTTAAAGTGATCTCAAAAATTGTTTACAGTGACATTCAGTACTTGGAATGATATGTTCATGTTCCTAGGAATCAATGATTAATGTTGGATTTATTTGCCACTTTTGTTTTTCTTTTGGTTCTATTTGTTTACTTCTATAAGCATCAAAAAATACCCCAAAGACAAGCTTTAACTGAGATCATTTAAAGTAAACATCTTACCTAAGCAGTATCTTGTTCAAAATAAAAGTAAATGAGAGAATATCTTATAATGAGAGACTTTGTAAGTACTCATAGGTGACTTCTTTTCTGGAGAATGATTGTGAGGAATAAAATTTTGCTTTATATTTGGGTATACACATGTATTTCTTTACATGTCTGTCTTATACTTCCACCTTATCCGTAGACTATAGGCATTTAAAGTAAGGACTAGGTCTTATATAAATATAATACAATCCTCATAAACATATTTGTTAATTATTTTTACCAAGGCACTTGCTTACTTGGTAGAGTTTATAGGCGCATATTAAAAGATTGCCTTTTGAGTAATTGTGTTTATCTAAGTAGTTCACTAATACTTTCTAATTTGTATTAATTTGTTCAAGGTATCTAGCAGAGTAGAAAAGGATTATAATGATCTTTTTGATGGAGAAGATACAAGTAGTGCTGGTGATTTTCTAAATGACAATGCAGTCGAAACCCGCTCTTTTTCAAAACGGATTATAAATGATGAGGAAGATGATGATGACCTCATGCTGGCTTCAGGTCGTCCTAGACAGCGAAGTCATATCCTAGAAGATGATGAAAACTCAGTTGGTATGAATTGACTTTGTGAATGTGATGATCCATCTTACTGATCAATATTTTCAATTTTTTATTAAAACTATTATTTAAAGTCAGTACTGGATTGGTAGAATGTAGCTATAGCATTAAATACGTATGTTGAAAAAGGTTTCAAAACAATGATCTAAGCTTCTGCTTTAGCAAACTAGAAGAAGAGGAAATTAAACGCCAAGCGAGCAAAAGGAAGGAAATGATAAAGAACAGAATTCAATGAAATTGACAACCAAAAGCTATAGAAAAGTCAGTCAAGCCGAAAGCTTATTCTTTGAAAAGATCAATAAAACTGATAAATCTCTATCCTGATTGATCAAGAAAGAAAGACACAAATGACTAATATAAGAAATGAAAGGGGTATCATCACCATGTATCCCATAGACCTTCACTATCCAATATGATAGCCACTAGCCACTTATGGCTTTTGAGCACTTAAAATGTGGCTAGTTCAAATTGAGGTGTGTTTTAAGTATAAAATGCAACCAGATTTTGAAGACAGTACAAAAAAGAGAATGTAAAATATCTTGGTCGTTTTTTACATTGAGTACATGTTGAAATTATATTTTAAATGCAGTATATTATTACAATTAATTACACCTGTTTCTTTTTACTATTTATGGCTACTAGAAAATTTTAAGTTACATATGTAACTCACATTATATTTCTGTAAGATAGCACTGCTATTAATAACAAAAGTTTAATAGGTGAATATTATGAACAACTTTGTGTCCATAAATTCAACAACTTAGATAAAATAGATAAATTCTTTGAAAGACACAAACTACCAAGCTAACTCAAGAAATAGGTAACCTGGCCGCAACTAAAAGATCCTGCGTGCTGCAACTAAAGCTCCCACACGTGGCAACTAAGACCCGGTGCAGCCAATTAAATAAATAAATAAATATTAAAAATTTTTAAACAAAAAGAAATAGGTAACCTGAATAGTTTGGTATCTGTTAAAGATACTGGGATTGTAATGGAAAACCTTTAAATAAAGTGACTGTTACAACTTATATGCTAAAATTAACACATTTGAACATTACCAAGTGAAATGCCAGTGTACAGTGGTAAGTTGTGCTGCATTTAAAGCATATAGGGTTTATAGGATAGCACTCTTCAAATGTTTGGTTTCAGGAGCTCATTACATTCCTAAAATTTTTTGAGGACCCCAAAGAAAATTGTTTGTGGAGTTATATTTATTGTTATTTACTATGTTAGAAATTAAAACTGAGAAATTTTAAAAATATTCATTTTAAAGTAACATTAATAAACTCATATGAAAATAACATTTTTTATGAAAATAAAACAACTCTAGAAAAATGATATTATTTTACCATTTTGCAGATCTTAGCATAGAAGACAGCTGGATTCTTTCATGTGCTTCAGGATTCAGTCTACTGCCATATATTTGTTTTTGTTTGAAGTATGTGAAAAAAATTTAGCCTCACACAATATGTAGTTTGAAAAAAGAGAAGTATTTTAATAGCCTATTGAAAGAATTGCGGATATTCTTCTTCGATGTTGCACCAAAACGCAACAAATGATAATTTCTTAAAGATTACTTGCAATGTGGAATCTGAAAACTTTTCGGTGAACTTTTCAACTCTATTATTACATTAAAATCCATTGGTCTAACTTGAATGGATCTTTTACCATGTTTGATTTTTTCACATATGCATTGTTAATTTGGAAAATACTGTTTCCTGAGCTTTGCAGACCTTCCTAATATTGACACGTTATCCAGAATAATATTTGTTAGTATCATCGCCAATCTCATCAGAAGTTTTTAAATATTACAAAGCAGTCAAGCTCATGGTGGCAGATACACGTTTTTCACTATTCTGATTTTCACTTGAAAGCTCCAGTTTTATCATTGACCACAAATTCTGTCAGTTATTTTTCTTAAATGACCAGCTCACTTCATTTTTAAGCAAATGTTTGCCACATACTTGATAAACCATAGTTTATCTGGTATTTCCAATAAAAATGGTGTTACATGAAAAAATTAGCTAGTTCAGCTTACAACTCAATTGCAGAATTGCTTTTTTTTTTGAGACAACCATCACAGTTCTTTTTTTTTTTTTTTTAATGTTTTGGCCACACTACACAGCATGTTTTTTTAAAAAATTTTTTGACCGTGCTGCACAGCATGTGGGATCTAGTTCCCTGACCAGGGATCAAACCTACAACCCCTGCATTGGAAGCACAGAGTCTTAACCACTCGACCACCAGGGAAATCCCCCATCACAATTCTTTATGCACACTTACCATTTTAACACAGAGAACATTTTTTAAAAATCTATGCAAAGATCAAGATTTAATAAAATTAATATTTTTACTATTTTTACTGCAATTGATTAACAATATACTGACTACTAATACAGATTGGTGCCACTGCTTTGATTCATGCTAAGGTACCAGCAGTTTTACCCTCCATTGCTTTTGAATGATCACTGCAGATGTTAACACAGTGAAAGAGGCAAATAGTATTAAAATGTTAGTATTACTAAATATGAATGGACAAGGTTATTAGATTTCGTAATGCTTTTCTTTTTCAAGGTAATAGGTATTTATGATTCTCTAATTATAATCCTTTGTTTTCTAGATGTTACAATGATAAAAACTGGTTCTGGTTTTCTCAAAGAAGAGGAGGAGGATGATCAGGCAGGCAGCATTCACAATCTACCAGTTGTAACATCCCAAAGGCCATTTTATGATGGTCCTATGCCAACGCCCCGGCAAAAGCCATTCCAGTCAGGTTCTACACCCTTGCATCTCACTCACAGATTCATGGTAAGCCTTTCATCTACATGTAACTTTAAAATAGTTTTATCTCACTTTTAAGCATTTTATCTCACTGTAGTTAATTTTGTGTGGTAAAAATATTTGTTAAAAACCTTGGTTAACTGGCCTGGAACACTTTGATTGATTATAATTTTGTGCTTGATTTATTTTATGGTTAACTCACAGCTTTAATCTTATTTCAACCTTATTATTGAATGTTGTGTTAAATAAAATTCTGCTTTGCAAAATGACATATAATGGACATAATAAATGTGACTGTATATCTTGTAGTACCTCTTGGCTATACTTCCAAACTTTACTTCTCATATTAGTTTTTATATAGGAGATTGTACTGATTCCAGCACACTAGTTAGAAGGTGTTTTTTAGAAAGCAACTACTGGTATGGTATACTATTAGAAGGTGATAAGTGCTATGAAAAAAAAGCTATCTGCCCCTTTTCCCCATGCCAATGGAATATATTCTCCAGAAGCACAGAGATTTTTCTATTTTGTTTACTGATAGCACTTAGAACAAGGTATGGCACAATAGGCATTCAATATATATTTATGGATGAATGACTATATTAACTTTTTGTCTTAAGTTTGAGAGCTAAAAAAGTTTAATATTTTTATTTGTTGATTATTTGAGGTTTTCCACTGAGGACTTTGACAGTTGTCCTTCTTAAATTGTATGGTCCTGGCATAAATTTGTAGATAAATATTAAAGGTGATGTTTTATTAAAAAAAAAACAACCACCTTTTTATTGCCATCAGTAATCATCTTCAAGTAATAGATCTTAATTTTTCTAATATTGTCAAATACTTTATAGTTGTATTTGTGGTAAGGGAAAGGAAACACTAGGGCCTACCCTGCGTAGTGTGAGCCTGTAGTGTACATGAGTGGAAGACAAGTTTTCCAAATGGTATCAATTTATGCTGCCTTTTTTTTTTAATTCCTGGTGTGTGTGTGTGTGTTCAATTATTTTTATTTAGTTTTGGCTGTCAACACAGATCTTCGCTGCTGCGAGCAGGCTTTCTTTTGTTGCAATGCACGGGCTTCTCACTGCAGTGGCTTCTCTTGTTGCAGAGCACAGGCTCTAGGCATGCGGTCTCAGTAGTTGCAGCACATGAGCCCTAGAGCATGTGGGCTTCAGTAGTTGCCACGCGTGGGCTCAGTAGTTGCAGTGCACAGGCTTTAGGGCTCATGGGCTTCAGTAGTTGTGGCATGTGGGCTCAGTAGTTGTGGCTTGCGGGCTCTAGAATGCAGGCTCAGTAGTTGTGGCACACGGGCTTAGTTGCTCCATGGCACGTGGGATCTTCCCAGACCAGGGATCGAACCCGTGTCCCCTGCATTGGCAGGCGGATTCTTAACCACTGAGCCACGAGGGAAGTCCTATGCTGCCTTAAAATGTATATATTTATGCCATAACTATAAACCAGTTAGTTGGACCAAAAGAAATATGCAGTCATATTTGTAAGTAAATACATTTTTGAAATGTTTTGTTTGATGAATTTAATGGTTCAGTTGTCCAAAGGTGAATTGTAAAGTATTTTTTTATGACAGTAATATAATTTTTTTAAATATTAGGTAAAATATTCCATTTGCTAATAAATAAGTATATATGTACCTTCTTCTCATGAGGAAGAGAATAATTAGTAATTGTTGCTCCGATGTTACTACTGTTACCTGAAACTATTTAGAGGTAAGTAAGCCGTGGTTGCTCCCATAACTTAATCCCTGATACAGACTACATTATTTGTTAATTTGTACTATTTTAGTCTGTTGATTCTAAGAACTTTACTCTTTCTCAGACTTGTATTTAACCTTACATGTTTGTAGGTGTGGAACTCTATTGGAATTATTCGCTGCTATAATGATGAGCAAGACAATGCCATAGATGTGGAGTTCCATGATACCTCCATACACCATGCAACACACTTAGCAAACACTTTAAATTATACAGTAGCGGATCTTTCCCATGAAGCTGTTTTGTTGGCATGTGAAAGCACTGATGAACTAGCAAGGTAAATTCAAGATTATTAGGAAGAATTTGTTACTGTTGAACTGTTGTACTAAAATGTTGAAATTCAGTACAAAAAGTTTGTAAGACAAAAAACAAAATTATGTCTTTTATAGTATGGAATTTCAGAAGGAAGAGTTTAGTACAAATAGCAGCACACCCGTAATACCTCAGAACATATGTCTGTTTTTGCTTATTTGTCCCCTTCTTACATAAGAGTAATAAACGGATTAATTGTAAACAAGCAAGTTTAAGTAGTATAGAATTTTTAGAAAATGAAAATTCCCCCCAGAATTCTACTCTCAGATATAACTACTGTTAACAATTAACAGTTAATCTAATCCCAGCCTTGGACAACTACTGATGTGGGTTTTGTCACTATAGATTAGATTTGAAACTTCTCTTTAAAAAAAAAAAAAGGAAAAACACACTAAAAATGTTAGTACTATTTGTCATTTTGACTTTTTAACTTGAAAACCTTTAACTTAGATATATTGGTTGGTTGCTAGGTAGGTAGGTAGATATAGAGACAAGAAAATTATGATGGAAAAGCAGTGGATGCAGAATCTGTATTTTTTTTAAAAAAGAAAAAATATTTTATTCAGCTTTGTTATTTCAGCCAGTTTGCCCTGTTAATTTTTTCAGCTGATCATAGTGCTTATACACTTGATCATAGATTTTACTAACTCCCAGGTGATTTGAAATGAAAATCCTTCTGACTGGATATATTAGTTCCTCGCTGCTCAAATTATGGTCCACAAACTAGGGGCGTGGGTCACGTGGGAGCATGTTGAAAACACAGAATCACAGACCCAAACCCAGACCTTCTGAGTCAGAATCTGCATTTTAACAAGATCCTCAGGTGATAGAGTATGCATTAAAGCCTGAGAAACACCAAATTGGGTCATTTTAATATTTTAATTGGTTTCCTAATTTACACATTGTAAAATCAACTCAATACTTTATTATTGAATTAAATCAGTTTACTAAAATAATCACTGTTGACTCAGTGTCTCTAACTCAGAATATCTTACATAATTAGAACATTTATTTCCATGGCAGTTTTTTTAAATTGAAGTATAGTTGTTTTACAATGTTATGTTAGTTTCTGCCGTATAGCAAAGTGATTTAGCTATACATATGTATACATTCTTCTTTATATTCTTTTCCATTATGGTTTATCACAGGATATTGAATATAGTTTCCTGTGCTATACATTTGGACCTCAGTGTTTATCCAATTCTATGTATAATAGTTTGCATCTACTAACCCCAGACTCCCAATCCATCCCCTCACATCCCCCTTCCCCCTTGGCTCCATGTGCAATTTTGATTTCAGATTGTTAAGATTGTTATGGTTTCCTGATTGATCCTTGTTCTTCTCTTTGTTTTCCTAGATATATTATTTCAGAGTCATATACAATGTTATCCTTTTATTTATTTTATTTTATTTTTTAAATATTTTATTGAAGTGTAGTTGATTTACAATATTATGTTAATTACTGCTGTACAGCTAAGTGATTCAGTTATATATATTCTTTTTCATATTCTTTTCCATTATGGTTTATCACTGGATATTGAATATAGGTTCCTCTGCTATACAGTAGGACCTTGTTGTTTATCCATCCTATATATTCTAGTTTGCATCTGTTAATCCCAAACTCCCAATCCTTCCCTCCCCCACCCACCCTCCCGCTTGGCAACCACAAGTCCGTTCTCTATGTCTGTGAGTCTGTTTCTGTTTCTTAGATATGTTCATTTGTGTTGTATTTTAGATTCCACACATAAGTGATATCATATGATATTTGTCTTTCTCTTTCTGATTTACTTCAATTAACATGATAATGTCTAGGTCCACCCCCCTACCCTTTTTTTTTCCGGCTGAGCTGCGTGGTTTGGGGGATCTTAGTTCCCTGACCAGGGATTGACCCGCATCCTCAGTAGTGAAAACGCGGAATCTTAACCACTGGACCGCTAGGGAATTCCCATCCCCCTTTATTTTATTTTTATTTATTTATTTATTTTGGCTGCACTGGGTCTTCGTTGCGGCATGCAGGATCTTTTAGTTGCAGCACGCGGACTTCTTAGTTGTGGCATGCATGCCGGATCTAGTTACCTAACCAGGGGTGGAACCCAAGCCCCCTGCTTTGGGAGCACGGAGTCTTACCCACTGGACCACCAAGGAAGTCCCTCATCTCTCTTTATTTTAAATTTGAATTTTAAATTACTGTTTAGGAAGTCAGTACTGCCTCTGATTCTAAATACTATGGTATCTACGTTTTGAAGCTTAAGTTTCATAATAACTTGCATGTATGTAAATATGCAAAGAAAAAAGACTGGAAACACAAATCAGATTGTTAGCAGTGGTTGGTAATCTTGCTGGTGGGATTATGATTTTTTTTTTCTTTTTGTCTTTGTTCTCCCATATTGAATTTTCTTTTTTGCAAAGAGAGGACTCTTGCCTAACATTTTGATGCTTCCTTCCTTTTTAAAAATTTGGTTGTGATTTTTGTGTGTATTTGCAGCCTAGGATCACACTCTGCTGATTTTATCCTGCTTTTTTTCATTTAACATTATATTGTGAGCATTTTCCTGTATCTTTAAATATTCTTCAGTAACATGACTATTAATGGTTTTAATATAGTTCATTTTAAGGATATTTCATAATTACTTTCTTAAAGCCATTTTTGTATTATTTGTGTGTAATAGAAAAATAAACTATTTGATTGTTACTGGGTGTAATGATTAGTTATATATATGTATAAAATATCAAATGTGAAAGTTTGATTGTTTCTGTCTTGTTTTAATTTTTAGCAAGCTGCATTGCCTGCACTTTAGTTCATGGGATTCAAGCAAAGAGTGGATAGTAGACATGCCTCAGAATGAAAATATTGAAGCCATATGTCTTGGTCAGGGATGGGCTGCTGCTGCCACTAGCGCCTTGCTCCTTCGCTTGTTTACCATTGGAGGTGTTCAGAAAGAGGTCTTCAGTCTCCCTGGGCCTGTTGTGTCAGTGGCAGGATATGGAGAACAGCTTGTCATTGTTTATCACAGAGGTAGATTTTTTCTACTATTTTATAGTTTTACCATGACCTGAAGTAAAATGGAAATTACTTAAGCTTTTTTTCTCTCTGTTTTGGATTGTATCTCCTTTTGCATTTATTTTAGTATTTGAATCAGTATAATCTTTGTACAGAATTTTGTTGTATTCACTAATAGCAATGAAAATGAAAACATTTTATTTATAGAAAAACTGTACTATAGAAAGAATTCTAAGGTAGAGTTTGGTTAATTGCTTCCATGTCTATATCTTATAAGAATTATCAGAGTTTAAATGCCTCAAAAAATAAACTAACTCCTTGTGTGAAGGACCAAAGCAACTTTGAATGTGACTTAAAAAGTTGTTGCCTCCTTTTCCTCACTTCATATTCTGTCCTCAGTCCCCATCGCTGTGCTAAGGCTGGTTTTATTAAGGTTAGCGATGATCTTTTTATGCTTATTTATTTAAATAATTCCACCAGAAATACTTTCTTCTCTTGGCTTCTGTGATGTCACTCGCCCATTTTTTTTTCCTTAGGAGCTGATAACTCTTTCAGCTCCTTTGCTGGCTCCTATTCCTGTGCCCCCCTCTTAGCTGGAGTACTCCAGGGCGGAATCACAGCCCCCTTCTCTTCCTTTCACTAGGTCAGGAGCTATTAGTCTTTCGACTGCTTAGCCCTAGTGAGAAATATATTCTATGTTGCTGTTCTATACATACCTGCAGATATAACTAGAATGAAAGTCTCATGGACAATATTTACTCTTTGATTTCATTTTTCTTTAAATTCTGGTTGTAACTCTGGATTGATTTCATGACTCACAGGTCAAAAAATGCAGTTTGAGAAACTACTTTGGGATATCTCATTAACACCCATGGCTTTAATACATCTATATGTTCATGACTTCTAAATTAATATCACCAGCCCTACCCCCTCCTTGTGTCTCCAGACTTACATATCCAATTGCCGACTTGAAATCTCTATGTAGAGTTTTGATATTTATCTCATACTTAACTTGGTCACAATAAAGCCTCTGGGCTTTCTTTTTCCCTCCAAACTTGCTTCTTAGTTTTTCCATTTCAGTAAACGGCATACTATCAATCTAGCTACTCAAGCCAGAAATGTTAAGAGTTATCCTTTCTTTCCCTCACATCCCCACATTTCTGACTTTGTCAGCAAAGTCATTATCATGTCAGTTCACACAACGCATTGCACATCTGTCTCTTTTTATCTCCACTAAAACCCCAGTGCAACCCAGACATCATCTCTTGGACTGTTGGAATAACCTCCTAACTAGCTTTTCAGCTTCAATTTTTGCCTGCCACAATCCATTCTCCACATAGCAATCTAGGTGATTTCTTAAAAACAAATCCAATCACTTCCCTCTTCTGCTCAGAATCCTCTGATGTCTTCCTATTGCTTTAGAATAAAAATCAAACTTGTTATCCCAGGTGGCAAGGTCCTACATGATCTGACCTTTGCCTGCCTCTTCAACCTCATCTCTTACCACTTTTTTTCTTGTTACTGGTTCTGGCCCTACTGGCTTCTTTGTGTTCTTCAAACTCACCAAGCTTGTTCCCAACTTAGGCCCTTTTCATTAGCTTTTCCCTGTCTACTGTAGTGCCCCTCCCCCTATCATTTGGATGGCTGACTCCAACTTGCAGATCATATCTCGGTTTAAATTTCACTTTCTCAAAAGGCCACTTTTGTCTGTCCAATCTAAAGTAGCCACTCAGTCTGACACTCTGTATCACATTAGTATTTTCATCTTTGATCATGACACTTAGTATTTTCTTCTTTTTATATTAGTTTTTCCTCTCCTACCTGAATATGAGTTTCATGAGAACGCTGACTTTGTCTTGTTTACCATTGTAGCCTCAGTACCTGGTACAAATTAAGCTCTCTTTAAATACTTCTTGAGTGAATGAGTTACCACTTATAAACACTTTATATACATAGTCCATGTAACATACTATTCTGCTTCTAATCCCTGAATGGTGCCTCAGGTAAGTGGATTATCTATAAGAAGTACTGCTAATTTAGGAATTTATCACAAAATAAAATTCAATTCAGAGAAAATAATTTAAACTACATCATAGCTAAAAAACCTTTGATACCTGATTTATATTTACATTTTCTCACTAGGTACAGGATTTGATGGGGATCAGTGCCTTGGAGTTCAACTGCTGGAGCTGGGCAAAAAGAAAAAACAAATTTTACATGGTGATCCTCTTCCTCTTACAAGGAAATCCTACCTTGTATGGCTTGGCTTTTCAGCTGAAGGCAAGATAAATTCATTTATATTAAAGTCATTTCTCAAGAAGAAAATTGCTTCATTATTTATTCCTAATTAATTTGCTTAAAGATAAATTGTCTATATTTTATGTTTAAATTTATTTACTTTAATATATTGGCAGAGCTGGAAACTGGAATTTCCAGGCGAGGTAGCCACTGTTTTATGTACAAGATCTCTTCATCAGAATTCTGATTAGAAAACTTACAAAGAGGGAAATAAATTTTTCTGAAAGTTTATTAGCTAGCAAAAAGGAGATACAAATCAGTGTTCCAATTTTGGCTTTTTTAGCAGATTCTACGTGAAAATCAGGAATTTTCTACTGATTTCCACTACAGTAACCACTAACCACATGTGGCTATATATAGAGCACTTGAAAAGTGGCTAATTTGAGTTGAGATGTGCTATAACTATAAAATACTCTCCAAGTTTTGAAGGCTTAGTATGAAATTAAAAAAATGTAAAAATTTTCAATAATTCTTTTATATTGATTACATGTTAAAATGATAATATTTTAGATATATTGGATTTAATAAAATATATTATTAACTTCACTTTTTTTTCCCCTTTTGTCATGTGGCAGGAGGAAATTAAAAATTACATTTGTGGCCCACATGATATTTCTGTTGAACAGTGTGCTGTTGTAGACTCACTTAACAGTGGGTTATGACAGATGATTTGAAGGACACTGAGGAGTACCTTATTTTAAGGCACTTGTTAACCCTGTCTTCTGGCTTAAATATTTCTATTATTGGAGATTCATGCCCTTTAATTACATCATTGGAAATTCCAGTTTGTCTTTAAAAAACCCAACCATTTCTGGATGTGTTTTCTATTGGGATATTAATTAGTCACTTATGCTTTAATAATGTGACCATTAATAACTTCCATTCATATAGCTTTATTTTTTTCTCCCAGTTACCAATCAGATCTAGACCCTGAGGAAACTGCTGTTTGCAGAGTGAGAGGGGTATGAAGTTGCAGATAAAAAAAGGATAATTAGGGAATTTGCCATGTACTTCCTGAAATGGGAGCAGAGTAGGTGGGAAACAGGGATGCTTATTTGTTTCCTAGGTAAGTCTAGGAGCAGAACAGTGGGGAACTGTTGGGGAACAGAACAGTGACAAGGCCGAGAGGAAGAAGAGTACTAAAGACAGATTTCTCTACATCATCACCTTGCATTAGGTTCTCCTCATTTTTCCAAGTCTGTCTTGACCAAGGAAACTTCAGACTCAATTTTAACTTCTTTACTGAAATTGGCTTTGAAAAACTGCTGTATTCCAGCAGGTGGCATAGTTTTCTCTGAATTGATTAGGGTTTTTTTTTCCTCTTTTTTTTGGATAAATTTTAGTCACATCACATGCAATTTTTTTTTCCTTTGATTCAGTTAGGTCTTACTCTATGTGGTTAGTGAAATTTTATGGGAAATAATCTTGGATTATTTGCCTTTTGGGTTTTGGGAGGATTTTTTTTGTTTGGGTTTTTTTGTTTGTTTTTTGTTTTGCTTTTGAATTGAAAGTTGATTGACTGGTGTGTGTATTTGAAAAAGGATTTATTTAACAAATATGTAGCTATGTTTCCAAGTGATTTGTTTTTCTGTTGGTATATAGGTACCCCATTTTACGTGGATTCAGAAGGCATTGTTCGAATGCTTAACAGAGGACTTGGTCATACATGGACTCCTATATGTAACACAAGAGAACACTGCAAAGGGAAATCTGATCACTACTGGGTGGTTGGTATCCATGAAAATCCCCAGCAACTGAGGTGGGCTATTAGAAAATGCTTAGTTGACTCTTTTTAAAAAGTACTTTGAAATTCTTTATTATGCTTATCTTTAAAGGTATTTTTAAAATCTTTAACCTTAGCTCATTTACTTGCTTTCCATATTCACTAAATTAGGAATTTGTTTACATTCACTTTGAAGTTTTCAACCAGTTGCTTGACTTGGAACCTATTGAGCAAAATAGAAACTAAGGGAATTCCCTGGAGGTCCAGTGGTTAGGACTCTGCGCTTCCACTGCAGGGGGCATGGTTTTAATCCCTGGTCGGAGAACTAAGATCCTGCAAGCCGAGCTGCATGGCCTAAAAAAAAGAAAAGAAAACAATTTTATTAGTGTGACTAGCATTATTTCAGCCAGATAGGGAGGGGAGTTTGGGGTAAACATCACATTTCATCTTTTATTATAGCCTTTTATTTTAAACTTTGATTTAGAATTGAATATATAATTTAGTTGCTTTTTGAGATTTTTAGCTTAATTATTGTTATAGGGGAGTGGGCTAGTAGAAATTTAGTAGTTGACTGCAAGTGTAGAATTCTCAGTACATATAGTCTCTATTCAGTATTGTGTTGAGTATTTACCTCTTTTTTGACACCAGATATCTTCTTGGTCTAAAAGACTGTCAGTGACATTGGACAGATACTTGGTGAACAAAGAAGTCTCTGCTTTCATGGAGCTTATAGTCTGACTGGGGAGACAGATAACAGAAACAACGAAATATTAATTACTATTAGAATAAATACTACCCATTAATCTGAGCAGACCCATGATAAAGAATAACAGAAGAGCATTTTCTAGATAGTATGGTCATAGAAGACTCTTTTTTTTTTTAATAAATTTATGTATTTATTTATTTATTTTTGGCTGCATTGCGTCTTCGTTGCTGCGTACGAGCTTTCTCTAGTTGTAGTAAGTGGGGGCTACACTTTGTTGTGGTGCACAGGCTCTAGGCTTGCGGGCTCAGTAGCTGTGGCACATGGCTCAGTAGTTGTGGCTTGCGGGCTCTAGAGCGCAGGCTTAGTAGTTATAGTGCACGGGCTTAGTTGCTCCGCAGCATGTGAGATCTTCCTGGACCAGGGCTCGAACCCGTGTTCCCTGAATTGGCAGGTGGATTCTTAACCACTGCGCCACCAGGGAAGTCCTAGTCATAGAAGACTCTTAATGGAGGTAGTATTTAGAATGAGACCTGGTGGCCAAGGGGGTCTGTTATGGAAGAATGGATTGGAAAGCAATCCATGAAGAGAAAACAGCATGTACAAAGGCTGTGAGTTCAGAAAGAACTTGGTGTGTTTGAGGAATTAAAAGGATGTAAACATGGCTGGAGTACAAAGAAGCAAGAGGTAGCAGGGAATATAAATCCAAGTTGGTATCAGTAAGTTAGACATAGGCTGCATTATAGGCCATGATAGAGAAGTTTGGATTTTCTTTGAAGTATAATAAGAAGTCATTCAAGTGTTTTATCCAGGGGAATGATATAATCTGATTTACACTATAAAAAGAAAAATGTATGTGGTAAATGGATTGGCAAGGGTAGGACTGGAAGCAGAGAGACCAATTTTTCAACCAGGGGTTTTTCCACTCTTCTGGGGATGTTTAGAAATGTGGGGTATTGTTTTTAGTTGTCACAAGGATTAGGACTTACTCTATCATTCGGGGTAGGCTGGAACTAGTGTGGGGAAGTGGAAATGAAGAGAAGCAGATTCAAGATAGAAACAGGATTTGCTGGTAGTTTGGGGGTTGGGAATGAGAGAAGAATCAATGACACCTACATTTCTAGTTAAAGCTACTAGATAAAGAGTTGTACCATTTATAGAAATAAGGAAGATAAAAATGAATACTCTCTTGGGTGTGTTAAGCCTGCACAATATCCAAAGGAAGATATCAAGAAGGTATTGGGGGCTTCCCTGGTGGCGCAGTGGTCAAGAATCCGCCTGCCAATGCAGGAGACGTGGGTTTGGGCCCTAGTCTGGGAAGATCCCACGTGCCACAGAGCAACTAAGGCCGTGCGCCACAACTACTGAGCCTGCTCTCTAGAGCCCGCCAGCTACAACTATTGAGCCTGCATGCCACAACTACTGAAGCCCACGCACCTAGAGCCCGTGCTCCGCAACAAGAGAAGCCTCCGCAATGAGAAGCCTGCGCACCACAACACAGAGTAGCCCCCGCTCACCGCAACCAGAGAAAAGCCCGCTCGCAGCAACGAAGACCCAAAATGACCAAAAATAAATTAATTAATTTAAAAAAAGAAAAGAAAGAGAAAATGCTTAAGTTTAAAAAGAAAAAAAAGGAAGGTATTGGAATATATGATTCAAACTCAGAAATTTTGGCTGGTTATATACATTTGGGAATCATCAGATTATAGAAGGTATATAAAGTTATAGTAATAAATGAGAAGAAAGAGACAAAAGGTATCAGTCCAACCCCAAAGAAATTCCAGCATTTAGAGGTCAGTTATTGGAGTAGAAGCTTTTGAATGAGAAAAAGGAAGATTAAGCAATTAAGAGAAAAATCTCCTGAAGAGGGTCATGTCATAGAAACTATAAGTGGAGACTATTTCAAAAAGCAATAATCAGAAAGTGAAATTAAAATGGCTTTCAAATATATGAAAAGATGATTGATGTCACTTGCAGTAAGATTAAACACAAATGAGAACTAAAAAGAGATTTCTCTTTTTACCTATTAAATTAGAAAAATCTGAAAATTTGACAACATTCTTAGCTAGTGAGGCTGTGGGGAAATAACCACGTTTATGTATTGCTGATGGGAGTGTAAGTTGGTCACAATCCCTGTGGAAGGCAATTTGTCAAGAACTATCAGAATTAGAAATGCATATGCCCTTTGATCCAGTGAATCTGTCTTTAGGATTTATCCTTCTGAAAAACTAGTACTTGCTATTTGAAGTATAATCCATGGAAAAGAACACATATAATAAATGTTGGCAAGGGTGTGGAGAAAAGGGAACCCACATATACTGTTGTTGGGAATGTAAATTGGTACAGCCACTGTGGAGAACAGTATGGAAGTTTCTTAAAAAGCTAAAAATAAACCCAGAAATGACGCAGAAATTCCACTGCTGGGTATATATCTGAAGAAAACCAAAAACACTAAGTGGACAAGATTCATGCATCCCCGTGTTCGTAGCAGCGTTATTTACAGTTGTCAAGTTACGGAAGCAACCTAAGTGTCCATCAACTGCTGAATGGATAAAGAAGATGTGGTATATATACATGATTTTTTTTTTTTTTTTGCAGTACGCGGGCCTCTCACTGTTGTGGCTTTTCCCGTTGCAGAGCACAGGCTCCGGACGCGCAGGCTCAGCGGCCATGGCTCACAGGCCCAGCCGCTCCGCGGCATGTGGGATCTTGCCGGACCAGGGCACGAACCTGTGTCCCCTGCATCGGCAGGTGGACTCTCAACCATTGCGCCACCAGGGAAGCCCTATATGATTTTTTAAAAGATATTTTATCAGGTGTAATGAGAGGGAAGAAGATAGGTGCAAATGCAGATAGATTTAGTGGATGAAAGGTGACAGGAATTCTTGTCTGATGCCTTCTGTTTTGGTGGCAGATTTTGAAGCAAGATAGAGGGTATTTTTGAAGGCATTGGTTGGCAGTGTGGATGTTTGAGAAGACATAGTCTTCTTAAAGAATATGAAATTGAGCTTAGTAGAAAATCATAGAGGAATTGCTCGTTATTATTTCTGTATGTCGTGTGTTTTCAAAGTCTCCAGATAGTCCATTATTGACATATTTAGTATCAGAAGGAATTTATTAAACTTTTAAAAAATTCTAATTAAGTTTTGGCTGCGTTGGGTCTCTGTTGCTGCACACGGGCTTTTCTCTAGTTGAGGCAAGCGGGGGCTACTCTTCATTGCACTTCACAGGCTTCTCATTGTGGTGGCTTCTCTTGTTGCAGAACACAGGCTCTAGGCACTCGGGCTTCAGTAGTTGTGGCTCGCGGGCTCTAGAGCACAGGCTCAGCAGTTGTGGTGCACGGGCTTAGTTGCTCTGCAGCATGTGGGATCTTCCAGGACCAGGGCTCAAACCCGTGTCCCCTGTATTGGCAGGCAGATTCTTAACCACTGCACCACCGAGGAAGTCCCTAGTTAACTGTTTCTAACAGTTCTCAGAGTGTAGGTTGTTCTCAGGGATATTTTTACATGTCTGTTTCCAGGAATCAAGTTTTTAGTAACTTGAATGAAAGAATTCATATTTTATCTTAATCAGAGGTTTAGTTTTTAACCTAGAAGGATTTTTACTGTTCCATCTAATGTTTATTCAAGTAAGATGATTCATTTTGTTTGTTAATATTATTATCTTAAGGAAGTACATGAAGTTATTCATTTGCAATGAATAATTTTGGTTTTTCATTTAATATTAAAACTATTTTATCAAGTTCAATTTTTACACCCCCTAATTTGTACAGCTGGCTTTTTTTTCTTACTTGCTTTATAGTTAAGATCTGTGAAGTTTTAACTCTCATTAAAAGACATGATAATTACAGCTGGTAACATTTAACTTAAATTCAGCATGGGAGGGCTTCCCTGGTGGTTCAGTGGTTAAGAATCCGCCTGCCAGTGCAGGGGACATGGGTTCAAGCCATGGCCCGGGAAGATCCCACATGCCACGGAGCAACTAAGCCCATGTGCCACAGCTACTGAGCCTCCGCTCTGAAGCCCGTGAGCCACAACTACTGAAGCCTGCACGCCTAGAGCCCGTGCTCTGCAGCAGGAGAAACCACCGCAATGGGAAGGCCGTGCACCACAACAAAGAGTAGCCCCTGCTCACCACAACTAGAGAAAGCCCGCATGCAGTAACGAAGACCCAACGCAGCCAAAAATAAATTAATTAATTAAAAAAATTTTCAACATGGGATAAAAAAAATAATGGACTCTAAATTACAGTTTTTAGACTTGGAAGGATTTTAGAAATTGTCTAGGCCAGTGGCTCCTGACATTTTTAAGCATAAGAGTCCTTTTATATGTCAAAGCATTTCATGAACTACAGATGATAGCAGCTTGTACAGTGAGTATCAGTTGATAGAGAAAATCCATAATAGCAGGAAGTTTCTATAGACCTAAAGATTATATTTGAACCTAAATTTGTATTATAAGTTACATCATGTACATGCATGTGAAAATTCTAGTACATAAAGTGGAAACTCTTTTATTCATTCTGCAGACAGTTCATGGTGCCCCTGTGAATGCATGGTCATTTTGCAATAGCTCAGCAGCCCTACAGGGATAAAAAAAATGAGAACCACCAGTTTCTTTTGGTCTAGTTCCTGTGCTCTGCCTTTACTCCTGGTCCTTTTCCCCAATTTTTACAGGTGAGAAAACTGAGGCCCAAAAAGATTAAGTAACTTGGGATCACACAGCTAGTTAGTAGCAAAAAAGTTCCTATATTTTCTCTTGAAATACAGGAACAGTGGAAGTTGAGTTGATAAATAGATTGAAAGAATAAACTTATTCCTTAAGGACTGGCTTATTCTAGGGGAATAATTGAATTACTGAGGGGAATCTCATACAGCTGACGTTTGAAACACTGAGAAGATAATGCTGAAAAATATATGTACTTGTATATACTGTGATAAATTGATCAGACTGTTTTTCATTTTTTCCTGGCTTTATTCTGGAAGAATCAACTTGAATAAGAACGTTTTTCAAAGATTGGAAGTTACATTTCTCATTATGGCCTACTGCGCTTCTCATACCAGCTTTCCTTACATTTAGTCACACGTAGAGGATGGTTAATTTCCTTTCTATTGTTAGAGAGGTCCGTGAAAGCCCAGGGAAGAAAACTGTACAACCATCTTTAGTAGCCTGCTGCTGTGTTTAATGAGACTTAATTATCCTTGCTATCAAGAAATTTATTCTTGGGCTTCCCTGGTGGCACAGTGGTTGAGAGTCCGCCTGCTGATGCAGGGGACACGGGTTCATGCCCCGGTCTGGGAAGATCCCACATGCCGCGGAGCAGCTAGGCCCGTGAGCCTGTGCTCCGCACCGGGAGAGGCCACAACAGTGAGAGGCCCGTGTACCGAAAAAAAAAAAAAGAAATTCATTCTTATATTTATTTAAATCTCACACTTTCGTTTGCTCTCAGTGTTCATGGTAAAGATAGCAAACCACTTGCTCCTCTGGAAAGGCAGCATTTCATAATGGTCCAGTGCTGGAGCCTGCTGCAGTATCCTGTGCTCACTGTGTAGCTCACTGTGTAGCCCTGGCCATGACATTTAGACTCTCTGTGCCTCTGTTTCCTCATTTCTAAAACCAGGATGAAGCTAGTACCCATCTCACAGAACTACTGTGAAGATGAAGTGTTGTAGGAGTACTTAGAACAGTGCCTGGCCCTTAGTGAGTGTTCATTGAATGTCAGTTGTTAATAACAACAGTAGTTTTCTTACCGTCACTACTTTAAGGCCTTGTATTTCATGGTTAATGATTATCTGTTTCTATAATCTTTCCATTTAAAATACATTTTCTAACCCAGATTCAGCAGTATTTATGCTTTCTTTTTGGTGAGGAAATACATTTTGTTAAAAATAATTTAAAATAATTTTTTTAAAAATAATTTTTAAAAAATTCATTTGAATCAGTACAAAACACCTGCCTTTAATTACTGATGTGTAGCATATCTGATTTCCTACCTCTGTTTGAAATGAACTTCAGTTTAGCAGAAATTGTCTTTATGGTTTCCTCTGAAGATTTTTTTTATTGTCACCATTGGTTAATACATAACTGAGAGTTTACTAATTTTCGTGCCACAATCTAATTTGCTTTCTACAAACATCAGTGTTCCTTTTCTCTTTAGTTTAGTTTTGTTTTTTACCTTATTCTGCTTTATTTTTTGATATTAGAACATATTTATTTAACGATATTTTATGCAGGCACTTCATATCAGGCATTCTCTTTGGTTTTTAAAAACTCTTAAGAGTTATTTAATGCACTTGAAAACAGACTTTTTTTTGCAAGTTATGTTCATTTAACAAGCATTTGCTAAAAGTACTGACTACATGTCCTATGCTACATGAAGATAAATTGGGCCAGCAGCCTGGAAGAGTTGGCTGGTAAAATCATTATCTACTCCTGAGTCAGTGCTCTAAAAGAGTTAAATCCCCTCGAACACTGAAAAGAGTCCCATGCAACACAGACGACAAGCAAAACTCACTAACTCTTAGAAACTTATTCTGGACATTGGCCCCCGTTTTCTCCAGTTTGATATTTTTCAACTCTTTAATATAAGAGAACAAATTTTTTGATTTGTTTGGAAAGGAATTGAAGTAATTTTGTCTCCTTAGTAAACTGTGGTTTATTTTTTCACATTTTATCCTCCGAATGGTTTAGCCACAGTTTCCAGGAAACTCATTCATTGTAGGCAGAACCCATCAAATTAGCAGTCAAATGAGTTTGTTTTTTCCTCTTCTTCCATGAAAGAGATATCTAACAGAGAAAAGGTCATTTTACTTCAAGTCTTTAAAGCTAAGAAAAGGATAAGAAATGTGAATTGGTGCTCTGCTTTGATGTAAATGTGGCTTTAAAAAAGCTATTAGTAAAATCCTTATCAATTTTTCTTTATGATAATCACTTACTATGACTAAATAAAGTATTCGAGTTGTAAAATGTTTTTAAACAGAGTCTAAGTCACTTTATAGAAAAAAGAATGTTGGGCTTCCCTGGTGGCGCAGTGGTTGAGAGTCCGCCTGCCGATGGAGGGGACACGGGTTCGTGCCCCGGTCCGGGAAGATCCCACATGCCGCGGAGCGGCTGGGCCCGTGAGCCATGGCCGCTGAGCCTGCGCGTCTGGAGCCTGTGCTCCGCAACGGGGGAGGCCCGCATACAGCAAAAAAAAAGAAAAAAGAATGTTAAGGCAATTAAGATTACTCCCAGTGTTCCTCCTAGTTTTGTTAATGTACATATATGCATATGTAATTGCACTCGTCCTTTCTGAATGCACATGTTCTGTCTTCCGTTTTGCATGACTAAAATGGTTTTGTGAATAGGTGCATAACAATTACTACAAGAGGTTTTTCAAATGCTCAGTATTCACATTGCCACCTCATACTATGTGGTGAAAACCACTGATTTATGTGAAATCATAAAAGGGGAGGAGGTAGAAAAAAATGAGGATTTATGTTAAAAAATATTGTAACTCTAAAAACATGTTTGTTTTTGTTATATTTTCGCAAAAAGAAGGAAAGGGAGTATTTAAATCTTACTAGAAAGGGAGCCTATGTAATATTCCTGGGTAATGCCACTTATTTATTTTTTAACTATTCTAGTGGACATTTGATAATATTAGAAGATATTTATGAAAAAAATTTTAAACCTAAGGGCCTAATTTCTACTTAGTATTTTCCTTCAAGAAAGTCATAACTTAAAGCCCTGATTAAAAGGCTGTATTACCGGATGGCTGTTAGTAAGCATTGAACAAGGGTGTATGTTTTTTAAATGACTTTATGAAAGTTAGAAAATTTGTCTATAGTACTTAGAGTGTGTAATTATGTTTTTCTTATGAATAATTTGGAGTAAATACATTAAAAGAATATTCTGCATGTATAAATCACTCTGATGAATGGATACTTTTTAATTCATAAATTGCATTAGTACTCAATCCTGATGGGCATATATGAGTGCCTTACATATTCTAGTCAGAAAAGTCCTTGCCAAGGGAACTATTACCGCATAAGGCAACCCTTCATTTAGCAGAGCAGATGTACAGTATAACCTTTTTATAATGATAATGGATTTTCTGCTTCACTCTCACCGATATCTAATAATAAACACTTATTGGACATTTCACCCTCTTTTTCTCTTATATGACACTTTCTACCAACAGTACCAATATTTCCCAACTGAAGAATGAAAGTGAATATGCTTTATCAGCATTTTATCTTAGGGCGATCTGTTTTATAACATGGATCCCATGACAAGTGTTTACGGCACAATTTCTGTATTTTGGAAGTGGGCATTTTGCTAAGGAAAATCTGAAAAGAGCTGATTTTAGTGATTGTTAATTTAATAAAGCTGATGTGAGGAGGGATTTTTGAAGTCCTTGAAGTACGTGGAGGGATAATTTTGATACTTAATCAGGCCTAAAGTACTTTTTTAAAAGAGGAATCTTTTGTATATTATTAAGCCAGCTATTGGAATATTATTATTCCAAGTTACTAACTTTTGGAAAATTTATAATGTAGCAGTTTTTATGATATTTTGGAAAGTTTTTATGGTGAGACTGTTTCTTTCCTGACAGGTGTATTCCTTGCAAAGGTTCCCGATTTCCTCCCACCCTTCCACGCCCTGCTGTAGCTGTATTACCCTTTAAGCTTCCTTACTGTCAGACTGCCACAGAGAAAGGACAAATGGAGGTATGCACAAATCTTACCTTGACACTCTGAGTTTGATAATACCCTGCCTGTGACACAGACATTTAAAATTATTCTGATGACCGGTGTTGAGTATTCATTACTTTATAATTAAAGAAATAGCAGTAGCTGTGAGGGAGGAGGGCTGCTTCCAGGGACTTTATCTAAGAGGTAAATGGGTGTGACTGTCAGGGCCTCCCTAGGGTAAGGCGCTCACTCTCGGGCTTGGACAAGTTCCTAAGAGGACAATGCCTTCATGAATTTTGTACCCTTAGGTGCCAGGCTTGCCTCACCTTACTCCTAGCCCTGCGTCATCAAAAGTCATTCGATATCTTGCAGTTAGTTATTCTAAACAAGAAACAAATCAGCTTATAAAAATCTAGTTTACCAAGTTCTCTGAGCATCAACTATGATAGCTAGGAAACTTTAAAATGCTATATACAGTTGACCCTTGAAGAACATGGGATTGAACTGCGTGGGTCCATTTATAGATGGGTTTTTTTCAGTAGTAAATACTACAGTACAGCACCATGCAAGATTGGTTGAATCTGAGGGTGCCGAACCTCAGATATGGAGGAACCGCATATATATGGAGGGCTGACTATAAGTTATATGCAGATTTTCAACTACACAGAGGGTAGGCACCTCTACCTGCTACATTGTTCAAAGGTCACTGTATTTCCCTTTTTTTTTTTTTAAGGACAGAAGATAAAGTCAAGCCATAATATCACATTAGAATTGTAAAATAAGCTGTAGAAAGGAATATTTCAAAAAATATTTTATTCAGAAACTGGTGTCACATGATAAATGTTTAACACTTGCGTGGTATTCAGCTGATAGTTGGCTCTAAGCAGTTTTTCCACTTTTGCAGGAACAGTACTGGCGCTCAGTTATGTTTCACAACCACCTTGATTATTTAGCTAAAAATGGTTATGAATATGAAGCGAGCACTAAAACTCAAGCAATAAAAGAACAACAGGAACTTTTGATGAAAATGCTTGCGGTGAGTAAAATAAGTATAGTGGGGAAGAAAAGTTAATTTTTTTTCTCTAGGTTGAATTTCTTAATGGTATGTGAATGAGCACCAGGTTCCACAACCTAGAATTCCTAAGCTGTATCTGGTGGTGTTTTTCTCCCTTAAAAGTTCTGTTTCCCAGTTCACGTTGCAGATGAAATATTTACGACATTGCCTTGTATCTAAGATCATAGGAAGAAATAAACTCTTCTGGTGCTACCTCCCTGTTTTGTTTTTGCCGACTGGTCTGTGTTTTAATAGGCCCTGTAGGTGATTCAGATGCTTATTAATAAAGTTGGAGGACTGGCCCTAGCTCCTGCTCTTATCATGTGCAGCAAATAAAGTTTGAGTGTAGACTTTTAGGTCTGCAGGCTGAGCAGCCTTAAGAACTTTGATCAGGCTTTTAGACATGTCTGCCTTTTGTTATCCTCTTAGGTAAAAGTTTGTCTGTAGCCAGTGACCAGGTTTGGTCCCCTGGATATTTACATACATTTATCTTTAGAGATAAAAAACATATGTTTTTGAAACATAAGATTGATAAGTTTGTGTCCTCATTCCAGGTTGGCTTATGAGGAGGAGTATAATGTAATTTCTTCTGTGCTCTTCTTGCACTAGACTGTAAACACCTTGAGGGCAGTGACCATGTCCTGTTCACTAATGTATGCCAGGCACTGATGTAGTGTCTGATACATAGTGCACCTCAGTATTTCCTAAGAGAGTAAATGGCCCAGACTTTCCATTTTAAAGTTGAGGAAAAAAACTTCTGAGGGCAAAGTGATATCTGAGACCACAGAGCTTATTGTAACTTGTCTCCAAAAGGTGATATTCACTACTGTCACCTCTATGCAACACTGCCTTGCATTTAGTATTAAAGAAATTTAATTAGTTTACTATAGAGTAAGTTTTGTTCCATTCACAAAGTCCCATTTGTACACCAACATGAACTAGTAACCTTTTTATTTTCTACAACATATGTAAGGAAACATGTTTGATTTATTTACCATTTAGCCTTAGAGGAGCTTTTCCGCTGGAGTGCAGTGTTCCTCAGCAGGGTGCTAGTAGCATCCTGTTAGTTCTTTAGCATTCCTGCCCCCAGGCAAATGCCCATAGTTCCACCTAATTACTGGGAAAACCATACTATCATTTCCAAATGCCCTCTGAGGCAGAGTACTACCCTGATTGAGAAGTACTGCTTACAGATAAGTGATTCTGGAAAACTTGAGAAGGACATGCAGGTAAATATCTAAAGCATCTATGCTGATGAATCAGACTTGACATGTCTAAGTAACAAAGTAATACTTCTGTGAATTATGAGACCTTTAGTAGTCTTCAAAATATTAGTTTTCCTCACATTGTACTTCAGTTGCCTCACTTTGAGTCGTCAAAATTCATACCAAAAGAAAAAGTCATGATAAATGAATGTTTTTCATTTTATATTGTAAGTATAAAAAATAGAGCAAGAAAAAGGAGGTTGTTTGCTAATTTGGAAGTTGTATAACTGTTTCTGGTAGTTAGACATCATAGACAATCATACTTAAAAAGCTAATGGGTAAATCTATTTGCCCACCCACATTCACTTAGTAGCATTTGTGTGCCAATTGTAGGCAAAGTAATAACAAATCATTTACAATTTATTCTTTCTTTCAATTTGCTACCCTGTTTTGTGAGTGCAGGTGGTGGAATGGGCAGGAAAACAAATTTAGGAGAACCATTTTTGAATTTTTAAATAAATCTCTTACTCTCCTTGCAATCAATAACTTGAAATAATATGTCATATTTCATTGTTGATTGTGAAATGCACCAGTACTTTACTTATTTAAGTCACTAAGACAGAAAGAAATGCTTCCATTTAAACTGACTCACCATCAATTGTAAGATGGTTCTCAACTTCAGAGACAGATGTTAAAATGTGTAAAAATGTGCCTCTTAGAATCAGCGATACAATATCTAGAAAACTTTTCTCAGTTCTACTAGTAGTATCATTCTTTTATTTTTAAAAAGTTTTACTCAACATAATTTGACTTTTTTCCCCCTTTTTTTCCTTTAGCTTTCTTGTAAACTGGAGCGGGAATTTCGTTGTGTGGAACTCGCTGATCTAATGACTCAAAATGCTGTGAATTTAGCCATTAAATATGCTTCTCGTTCTCGGAGATTAATATTGGCCCAGAGACTTAGTGAACTGGCTGTAGAGAAAGCAGCAGAATCGGCAGCCACCCAAGCTGAAGAAGAAGAAGAGGATTTCAAAAAAAAGTTGAATGCTGGGTAAGAAAAGTTTGAGTTTTACCATCCTGAATATTGACTTGGTCTTTTTATAGCCCTTTATTGAATAATATCATTGTCTTTTAGTTACAGTAATACTCCTACAGAGTGGAGTCAGCCAAGGCTCAGAAATCAAGCTGAAGAAGATTCAGAGGATACTGGAGAAGCTGATGATATAGAAGAAAAACCAGAAATACATAAACATGGTAAGATAACATCTTTAAGGCAGTTGAAAGATGAGATGTGTCATGTGTGTGACTTCTCCCCTTTTACTTGGCTGAGGGAAATTGAATACCCATCCTTTTTCAAGACGTCTTTCCTGTCTGATTGTTGATTACAGAAGATGACTTTATCTTCCCATTTACATTGTATTGTTTTATCTTAATTATTCTGTAGGAGAAAACCCGTTTTTCAAAAGTGTAAATTCCTCTGATATGCCAGCTATTAAGTCAGGTAAGAAAATTTGGATTTTGTAATATCGAGAAAATTTTGAAGTAGTCTTTACAGTGATACATCTACTCAAATACACCTTACTCTTCAGGGCCTGTTTTGTTGTTGTTGTTTTTAATCAGAAATGTTTGTGAAACAGTGGTCATTTAACAAATACTTATTAAATGCCTATTTTGTGTCTAGTTTTTGCCTGGGGTGGGGGGCTACAGTGGTCAAGTAGACATGCATGTTTGATCCCTGCATAAACATTATAGTACCAGCTGGCTTTTAAAAGTATACATATATAGGGCTTCCCTGGTGGCGCAGTGGTTGAGAGTCGGCCTGCCGATGCAGGGGACACGGGTTCGTGCCCCGGTCCGGGAAGACCCCACATGCCGCGGAGCGGCTGGGCCCGTGAGCCATGGCCGCTGAGCCTGCGCATCCGGAGCCTGTGCTCCACAAGGGGGGAGGCCACAACAGTGAGAGGCCCACGTACAGGAAAAAAAAAAAAAAAAAAAAGTATACATACATACATACATATATATATATATATATATATATATATATATATGTTTGATTTTAATATACTTTTACATGTGTACAGATTATTAAAAGAGCATATAACAGGTGGCTGTAATCTAGTCAGTGGTGGGGGATGGTTTGGGACCCCAAGGAAGGCCTCATGGAATGTTTATTTATTTTATTTTATTTATTTATTTATTTGTGGTACGCGGGCCTCTCACTGTTGTGGCCTCTTCCGTTGTGGAGCACAGGCTCCGGACGCGCAGGCTCAGCGGCCATGGCTCACGGGCCTAGCTGCTCCGCGGCACGTGGGATCTTCCCGGACCGGGGCACGAACCCGTGTCCCCTGCATCGGCAGGCTGACTCTCAACCACTGCGCCGCCAGGGAAGCCCTATTTTACTTTTTAAATTTATTTTTGGCTGCACTGGGTCTTCATTGCTGTACGTGGGCTTTCTCTAGTTGCGGCGAGCAGGGGCTGCTCTTCCTTGTGGTGCGCGGGCTTCTTACTGCGGTGGCTTCTCTTGTTGTGGAGCACGGGCTCTAGGCCCGCGGGCTTCAGTAGATGTGGCACACGGGCTTAGTAGTTGTGGCGCAGGGGCTTAGTTGCTCTGCAGCATGTGGGATCTTCCCAGACCAGGGCTGTAACCCGTGTCCCCTGCATTGGCAGGCAGATTCTTAACCACTGCGCCACCAGGGAAACTGCCACGTGAAATGTTTAAAGCAGAGATCTAAAGGATGAATGAGTCAGCCAGGCAAAGGTGGGTGGGAGCAGAAGCAGAAGAAAAGCATGTGGGCTTAAGGAACAGCATGTGTGAAGACTGTAAGAGAGGCTTGAAGAGCACAGAGAGCAAAGAGAAAGTGGTGCTGAATGGTTTTGGAGTGATGAGCAGGAGCCAAACCTTTCAGGTCCATGTAGGCCATGGTAGGATTTGGACCTTTATTCTGAGGTTGCTGGGAGGCTGTTGTAGGTTTTAATGAGGGGCAGAGTATGGCACACTGTGAAGAGGAGGACTGCGTATAAGGAGACTTCTGAGGTAAGTCCCAAGTGAGATTGAATAGACTGGGGTGGTGGTGATTGCTGGTAGAAAGCATGGGAGGAATTGAAGAGGTGTTTCTGAAGATGATATAGAGAGGATGGAAGTTCAGGGTGTGAAGAATAACTGTCAGTTTCTGGCTTGAGTACTTGAGTGAATGATGGTGCCACTTACTGAGTCAGGAAACACGAGGAAAACGTGGGTTTAGATAGGAGGACGATGAATTACTATTGACTGTTCAGGAAAGTAGTATCTCTGGGATGGAGATATAAAGTGAAAATTGTTGACATAAGTATAGCAGTTTAAACCATGGGTATGGGTGAGTGAGCACTGGGGGAGGATCAAAGTGAGGAGAAAAATGAGGTTAGGCCTAGAGAGGAGGAGGACGAACCATCAAAAGAAAGTGAGGAAGGAGGTAAGCCAGGGAATGCAGTATCTCAGAAGTCAAAGGGGAGATAGTATCAAGAAGAAAGGAACACTCCGCTATGTGGAATGCTGAGAGGAATGCTGTTGAGAGGTCACACAAGGTGAGGGCTGGAAAAGATCCACCAGTTTTGGCTGCATAGGGTTTACTGAGTTCTTAGCAAGAGCAGATTCTGCAGGGTAGTAGGGCTGGAAGCCATGTATTGGATGGAGGAGCATGTGAATAGTGAGGAAATGGGAATAGCTGTGTAGACAACTCTTGAGAAATTTGGCTGCTTAGAGGAGGTGAGGGAAAATTATGTGGGGGGCGAGAAGGGGATGTGGCAGAGAGCGTGTTTGGTTTTTGTTTCTTTAAGTTGGGAAACTTGAGCCAATAAAGAAGGAAAAGTCAAAGATGACACGTGTAGCCATTGATAACACAGGTTTCTTGAAAAGCAGGAGTGGGTGGGATCTAGAGCATTTGTAGAGGAATTATTAACTAGCTAAAATAAGGCACCATTCTTCCCTGGTAACAGGAGAAAAGAAGAGATCTCTATATATTGTATCTGTCTATTTCATAGTGGCAAATTAGGATAGTTCCCATCATCTAATAGCTTTTATTTTGTCTTAGAAATAGGAAGGAGGTCATATATAGTTATTAATAGTTTTAAAGTTGCAAAGTACATTGTTTTCATATAATACAGATTAAAATATTCCATAATTCTTATAGAAGTCATAAGTCTTCTGAGTTTTACCACTATTAAGTGAGGGTTTCTTTCTTATGAAAGGTGCAGTTACCTCTAGCAACCAAGGACGAATAAACCCCTTCAAGGTAAACTCTTTCCAGTGATGTTTTCTATTATTTAAATACATTTCCATACAGAGAAATATTTCCAAACTACCAGACAACCCTCCCCAGACTTAAGAGGCATTAAAGACTGCAACAGATTAAATTTTAAAATATTTAAATAAGTAAATATTTTAAAATAAACAAAGATGAAAGCAGCACTAGTTCCTGCTTGGACCAGGAGTTACATTTTCTACTTATCTTCTGAGAACCTACAGTTTTGAAGGTTTTCAAAACTTGGGGATGTGGTATTTGGGAATATGCGCATCAGTCTTAATTTGGATTATACCAAATATATTCATTTCCGAAGGCGAGACTACAATACAAACTTAACAGAAATTTAAAGGAAAAATAAATCTCTTGGCATTTTTTTTTCTTGTTTAAACATTAAATGCTAATATTAGTTTGCTTTGTAGGTATCAGGCAATTCCAAAGAGCCATCCATTTCAGTGAATTCAGTACGTTCAACTAATATTTTAGACAATATGAACAAATCATCCAAGAAATCTACTGCACTTAATCGAGCTACAAATTATGAAAAGTCTCCAGTGATAAAGCCTCTGGTTCCAAGACCAAAGTCTAAGCAGGTATGACTTCACCTGCCCCCGTCTGCAGTACACAACTCATAGTCTGTCTGTCTTACTTTAGTTTTGCTCACTCTTTCGGGTATGGGACAGGAGGCTCCAGTTGTTTATAAGTGATTGTCTAGTGAGGGCAATGGTTCTCAATTCTGGTTTTGCATCAGAATCACTTTTTAAAAATATGTAGACCCAGGACAGGGACTCATGCATCTATCTGTATTTTTTTTCATTTTCCAAATGGTTCTGATGCATGTCCCTATTTAATGACAGCTGGTTTAGTACCTAGCCCTAATCTTTCCTTGTTTTGTATTCTGATTTTGCCTCCCAGATTGTGTCCCAGTTTTGGTATTTTATCACAGATTTGTCATCAGTAAAATAGACCTGTCATTTGTAATTTCCATTTCATATAATTTTATTCATCTAGAATACATGAAATTTGAGGTACAGGTTTTTGGGGTTTTGTGTGTGTGTTTATACATGTTTATTTTCAACAGAGAACCTCTCGGGACTTCACATGTTGGTGTAAGAATTCTAAATAATTATATTTCTCCACAGTTTTCAAAATTTGCTTGTAACATATAAAATCATACTAGATTTTGTTGCGGTATTCATTATGTTTGTTTTTACAGGCATCTGCAGCATCCTTTTTCCGGAAAAGAACTTCCCAAGCTGATAGGACTGAGGAAGTGAAAGAAGAAAATCCTAAAAATCCATCATCTGAAACCCCAGCTATGTGTCCTCAAAACACTGAAAACCAAAGGTCAGTACATAGAGAAATGTAGTGTTCTCAAGATGTAGTATTCCAGTAAAAGGCATACAGAAGTAGCAATACAAAATTATGTGGCCCTGTTATTCATTCATGTAAATAATACATTGGCACAGGTAGTAGGCATTCTGAACACTTGTAACTTTAGGGAAGCCACAAATATTGATTAATGTCTATTTATATTACTTATTAAAGTATGCTTTGATAAACTGCATACATGTTTTAAATTGTGAATATGTTTTTCTGGGACACTATATTTTATAATTAGTTCATTTTTTCATTTGTTTGTTTTTAAATCGTTAGTATAGTTACATGGGAGAAACAGTCAAAAGATAGAAAGAGATTTGTGATAAAGAGTAAATCTTTTCCCTACCCACCCAGTTTCCCCTCCACAAATAGTCACTGCACAAGTTTCTTATATAGCCTTCTGGAAATATCCTTTGCATGTACACTTAGATTTATCTGTTTTTTTTTTTTAGTTTTACAGAAATGGTAGTATACTCATTGTTCTGTGCCTTATTTTTTTCATTTAATAGCTTTTGCAGATGATTTCTTATTACTACATGAAGAGTTTCTTTAATCTTTTTACTTCCATTGAATGGCTATACCATAATTTATTTAGTTCTCTACTGGTGGACAAAAGGTAGTTGGTGGTCTTTTGCTAGTACAAATAGTAGTACAGTGAATAACTTTATATGAATATTATATACCTATAGCTGTAAGATGGATTCCTGTGTGGTTCAAGCTAATGTACAATTGTAATTTCGATAGATATTGCAAAATTGTTCTGCATGGATGTTGTATTATTTTATACACCCCCCAGCAATATGAGAGTTCCTATTGTCCATATCCTGTTTGTCCAACTCCTTGTTACCAAATTTCTTGATCTCTTGTATGCTAGATTTATTTAAAATACATCAGCTAAATTGAAAAAGTCACCGTTTCATTTTTAGTGTTATGTATCTCATTTAACCAATATCTGATGTTAACCAATTTAATTTGAAGGGATAGCTGTGGGTTTTATTTTTTCTTATTTTGTTCTGAATTTAATTTAGATATTAAACAGTGAAATTTTTATTTAAGATTCCATTTTTTATACTATCAACAGGCTATACAGAAAAAAAGTGCTCAGTAAATATTAAATGTTTGCATTAAATCTTCACTTGTGACCTAAAGACAGTTTGTGTCAGAACTGAAATCTAATGAAACTGACAAGTATGCTGTGTCCATGCTTTACATAATAATGGTACAAGAAAGGACCCACACTCTCAGGTCAGCTGTGAGGGCAGGGGTGAGGAGCTTGAGAGAAGTCATGACGATTTCCAATAGCTGGTTTGGGAAATGGAGAAAGGCTACCAAAGATACATGGAAGGGTTATATTGGGCTAGAGGGGCGAAGTAGGATTGGAGACCTTGAGCCTGTCAACATTCATAAAAGAGTTGAAAGTTCAGAGTTTTGCTGCACTTGGAAAATACAAATGTGAGTAATCCCTTTGAATTGATCTTATAAAGGATTTTTTCAGCTCATTATTCCTGCAATCTCTAGGCAGTTTTAAGTAATATGTAATTATGAATATTAACAAGTATAATTAACTGTGTCTCTCTTACTTTATATATAGGTATGCTAATGGCTAATCACTAACCTGAAAAATCATGAAGCACTTTTAAGACTGTCTTAATTATAAAATTTTTTTACATAACTGCTATTTTAGGCCAAAGACCGGGTTCCAGATGTGGCTGGAAGAAAACAGATGTAATATTTTGTCTGACAATCCTGACTTTTCAGATGAAGCAGACATAATAAAAGAAGGAATGGTTCGATTTAGAGTATTGTCAACTGAAGAAAGGAAGGTAAGTAAGGATAATTGTATTGAGAATGAGACTTTAGTGAATTCCCAGTGGTTTTTTTTTGTTTTTTTTTTTAATTGGGGTATAGTTGTTTTACAATGTTGTGTTAGTTTCTACTGTACAGCGAAGTGGAGTTCCCTGTGCTATACAGCAGATTCTTATTCGTTCTCTATTTTATACATATTAGTGTTTATATATCAATTCCAATCTCCCAATTCATCCCCCCGCCCTCACTTTCCCCACTTGCTGTCCATACATTTGTTCTCTACATCTGTGTCTCTATTTCTGCCTTGCACACCAGTTCATCTGTACCATTTTTCCAGGTTCCACATATATGCGTTAATATACGATATTTGTTCTTCTCTTTCTGACTTACTTCACTCTGTATGACAATCTCTAGGTCCATCCACGTCTCCATAAATAACCCAATTTCATTCGTTTTTATGGTTGAGTAATATTCCATTGTATATAAGTACCACATCTTCTTTATCCATTCCTTTGTTGATGGACATTTAGGTTGCTTCCATGACCTGGCTATTGTAAATAGTGCTGCAGTGAACGTTGGGGTGCATGTGTCTTTTTGAATTAGAGTTTTCTCTGGGTATATGCCCAGTAGTGGGATTGCTGGGTCATATGGTAATTCTATTTTTAATTTTTTAAGGAACCTCCATACTGTTCTCCATAGTGGCTGTGTCAGTTTACATTCCCACCAACAGTGCAAGAGGATTCCCTTTTCTCCACACCCTCTCCGGCATTTATTGTTTATAGATTTTCTGATGATGCCCATTCTAACCTGTCTGAGGTGATACATCATTGTAGTTTTGATTTGCATTTCTCTAATAATTAGTGATGTTGAGCAGCTTTTCATGTGCTTCTTGGCCATCTGTATGTCTTCTTTGGAGAAATGTCTATTTAGGTCTTCTGCCCATTTTTTGATTGGGTTGTTTGTTCTTTTGATATTGAGTTGCATGAGCTGTTTATATATTTTGGAGATTAATCCTTTGATTGTCCGTTGATTCATTTGCAAATATTTTCTCCCATTCTGAGGATTGTCTTTTTGTCTTGTTTATAGTTTCCTTTGCTATACAAAAGCTTTTAAGATTCATTAGGTCCCATTTGTAAGGATAATTGTACTGAGATGGGGACTTCAGTGAATTCCCAGGTTTTAAAAATTCTTAAAGAAAGTGCCTTTCTGTTTTTAGAAATTGAATACATTCTGATAAACTCTTGGTGGAGAGGAAATACAACAAGCAAAATGTCAGCTTTGAACCTATGGATATGTAATAATTATTATTTAGTGCTGATGGTTAATTTTTTGGCAGATGTACTGCTTACATCTGTATAAGTTTCTGCATATTGTAAGTTAGGGGAATACCCCAAGAAAAAGTGCATTACTTATCGAAAGCAAAGAAGATTAATAAGTAAAAATGAAATTAATTCACATTTTTGGACTACTACTCTAAAGTCCTTGTAAGCAGAATTTCTTAAAATGCTGTTTACTTACACATTGAATACTAAATGAGAATACTGCTTTGGGGGGAAAAAATCTGGTGTTCTGTTCTAGCCTTTCATGTGGAAATTAGGACAGGTGGCTTGTACCTATTGCTCCTCATGTCAGTTTCTGCCATGTGAAAGAAGGCTAAGAGCAGCTTTCTTTTGCAAGGGGAAGGATTGTGTGTGTTGTATCAATAAATCTCAGACTTCCCTTCCCTAGGAATGACTGCGTGCAGCATGGGCACCTTGTGACATAGTTACTTACCTTGATAAGCTGGTTTTTACGAAAGAAACTAATGCAAAATTAGGAAGCTAGAAACTGGTCTTACCACCTCTAGCCTCCTTTAGAATCTCATTAGCATCTTTGTATTTCTCATTTTTTATAAGTATTTATAAAAGGATAAAAATTGTAAAGAATTAGATAAAATGACATCTGAATGAATAAGACCTTATTAGGAAAAGAGGAAGAGATTTGGCAAAAGTTGTGATTGTGTTCTTGAATACTTAAAAATGTAATCAATATTTTTAGTGTAAACCTTAAACATTTCTTAAATCCAGTCTGTTAATGTGAAAAATACTACAGGTCAAATGGTCCCATTTCAACAACAATGACTAGGAAGGAAAATAAAGTAGGAGGAGGAGGAATTGTTATAGATTAAAAGAGGTTTAAGAGGTAAATGAAATGAGTGAAGCTTGTTAGGTTCTTGCTTAGTGAGTAGAAACCAATCCCAAAAGAGTGTATACTGTATATAACGTTCCTGATATGACAAAGTGATGGGGATGAAGAACAGAGAACTGATTGCCAGGGGTTAGGGCCTGGGAGAGGAGTGGGGTGGGGCAACATGTGGGATCCTCATGCTTATGGAACTACTGTTCTGTATCCTGAATGTGGTGGTAAATACACAGCCTACAATAGAATTATACACACACACACACACACACACAAACAAGTAGAAATAAAAAAGGGGATTTTATCAATGTCAATATCCTAGTTGTAATAGCGCACTACAGTTTTGCAAGATGCAACCATTGAGGGAAACTGAGTAAAGGGAACACGGTGGCTTTCTGTATTATTTCCTACAACTGCATGGAAATCTATAATAATCTTAAAAGGTTTTCTTTCTAAAAAAGTACCTCCAGTTACAGTGTTTTTGCACTTAATATGCTTAAATACAAGCAGAGTTTAGATTGAAATATTATAGAGGTAGAATGTAAATTTTTTAACGTGCCCTGCAATTAAGTAATAAAAGATTTGTTTAAAAAAAAAAGAACCCTTAATGATTAGTTTAACAATTCAAATGCTAATTATGCTGCTTTACATAAAGGAATGTTGCCTGCAAAAGCAACGAAATCATGTCCTTCCTATTTCTTTGTTAGTGCCTAAAAACTTTTCTCCTGCAATATTTTTATAAAGGCATGGGCTGCCAAGGCCAAAGGAGGAACTGCAAGTGATGGAGCTGAAGAAAAGAAACGAAAACGTGTGGTTGATGATAGTCATGAAACTGAAAACCAGAAAGAAAAAACAAAGGAGAATCTGAATTTGCCTAAAAAGCAAAAACCTTTAGATCTTTCTACGAATCAGAAACTGTCAGCTTTTGCATTTAATCAGGAATAGAGTAAGGAAGTGTACTTAGGAAAGTAATGGATTTTTTACTCATCTTTGATGAATCTAGACCTTTTAAAAAAAATCTTTAGGAAACTCTTTATATATTTTTAAAAGAGTTTAAAGACTGCTATTTGTCTTTATAAGATACTGTAGTAATTATATTGGTGTAGGTAGCAGGGCATCTGTAAAAACTATCATCTCTTCAGATTGCTCTGCCCCCAAATGGAGGGCCATTCAGAAGCATTGTGGTCATGGTCACTGACTGGAGGCCACTGTCATGTCCCATTGGAAGCTGATTTGTTTTTGTTTCTTACCTTAAAAATCATCAAAGCCAAGGTCTTAAAACCTCTGAACATTCAAGTACCTTGTAGGGTTTTCCTTCTTTGGTTCATGTCATGTACTGGGAAGTACTACAAAAGTCCTCTTCCCAAGTGTGCTACCATAGACTGCTCTCTATGTCTATACTGGCCCCAGGGGACCATGTTTTTTTTTTTTAGTATGGGCCCTAAACATGTAAATAATTTTGTAGATTAGACCTTTTGTTTGTTTTGGCAGTTTCTTCATATACTACCTTTAATTATTTGTGTAACTTTTTTTTTAAATAAAATTTTCGCATTTCCATATTTAGCTTGATATGGTCTTTACATTGTATTTCCATGAAATGGAAGTATTTCTAGAAAATATATTTTATATTTATTACCGTAATTTCTACCACCCCCCATCCTATTACACAGTATACACACAGAAGAGAATTGAAGATACTGTTTTGATAGCATTACAGCCCAGCGCGTAATGTGCTCCTTGTAAGCTACTCTGGTTATCAGCATCAGCAGTGCTTTTCTGAGCAAGTCTTTGAAGCCTTGATAAGAGAGTGGTTGAAGAGTAATGGAAAGTGTTTAACTCCTCTTTTATTTTGAACAAACAAGATTTAATTAAGTAGTTCATCCATTTTTTGGTTAGTATTCTAAGCAGAACTTAATACAAATGCAGCCACTTAATGAGGGCAAAGTACAAGGGGTGAGGTTGGGGTAGAGGGATAGTAGTAAAATAAAATCAGGTGGCTCAAAATCTAGGGTGGTTTTATAGGTTGGAAGGAACAAAATATGTTGAAAATTTAGATGTATAGGAGCCAAAGGATATTCCTTGTCTCATGATGATTAAGGTTGCGAAGGAATACATTTCTGATTTTTTAATTAGTACCTGGTATTGAGAAACATTGTAGCATAAAGGTTAGGAGCACAGATTTCAAAGCCGGACTACCTGGGCTCAAAGGACCACTGCAATACTACCAGCTAAATAACCTTGGGTAAGTTCTAGCCTTTGTCCACTCATCTGTAAAATGGGTATATTAATAGTAACTACTTTAGAGGGTTGTTATGAGAATTAAATGAGGTAATAGCACTTACCCTGGCACATAGTAATGTTTTATATACATATCAGCTATTGTTACTATGCTGTTGGCTGGTTCATCTTGCTTTGTCATTAGGTTTGATTCTGAATTAATTATGTATGAATTAATTTTGATTTCAAGATCCTGAAGTAAAAGTTTATTTATATTACTTTGGAAAGCATGTTTATAGACATGTATTTTGTTTTTACTTCCTCAACTTGCTTATTACCACAGTATATAATACTTAAGGATATAATCCTTGAGTGTTATATTTCAGATCCATAGGAACCTGATAACACCAAGGATTTTCAAAAGGTTTTTTCTTTCTTTTGTTCCTTTGACAACGCCGTGCGGCATGCAGGATCTTAGTTCCCCGACCAGGGATCGAACCCATACCCCCTGGAGTGGAAGTGTGGAGTCTTGCCCACTGGACCACCAGGGAAGTCCCTGCAAAAGGTTTTTTTAATCTCCTACTTTTGTTTGGTTGAAGGAAGGTTTTTGTATTGACCTGGTTTAACTTACAAATCAGAACTTTGAAACCAAGAAATATCATACTTATTCCTTTTCTATATAATATTAAACTTCTTTTAAGAAAAAAAAATCTTTGGGACTTCCCTGGTGGTCCAGTGGGCAAGACTGCACACTCCCAATGCAGGGGGCCTGAGTTCAATCCCTGGTTGGGGAACTGGATCCCACATGCTGCAACTAAGAGTTCACATGCTGCAACTCAAATCTGGCGCAGCCAAATAAATAAATATTAAAAAAAAAATTTCCCCCAAAGTACCCTTTCTAGCCTTCCCCCCCGCCAAATCTAGGATCAATCAAGAATGTTGAATTGGGACCTCCCTGGTGGTTAAGAATCCGCCTGCCAATGAGGGGGGCACATGTTCGAGCCCTGGTCTGGGAAGATCCACGTGCCATGGAGTAACTAAGCCCTTGCACCACAACTACTGAGCCTGCACTCTAGAGCCCATGAGCCACAACTACTGAGCCCGTGTGCTACAGCTACTGAAGCCCGTGCGCCTAGAACCAGTGCTCCGCAGCAAGAGAAGCCACTGCAGTGAGAAGCCCGTGCACTGCATCAAAGAGTAGCCCCCGCTCACCACAGCTAGAGAAAGCCTGCATGCAGCAACAAAGACCCAACGATGAAGACCCAATGCAGCCAAAAATAAACAAATAAAATATTTTTTAAAAAAGAATATTGAATTGTATTTAATTATTAGAAGTATATACTTTTTAATACAAGAAAGAGTGAGGAAGAACATCATCCCTAATCCTAATATCCAGAGATAACCACTGTTAACATTTTAGTGTATGTCATTAGGCATTTTTCTGTATATGTGTTGTTTTTTGTTACATAGGTGTGCAGTCCAAATTCATGCTGAGTAGAGGCATAAAGGAAAAAACAAAACAACTCAAGCCTGTAGTTTAAAGTGTGGCCTTTTGCTTGTAGTGTTCCTGTAATTGACACCAATTTCTACCTACTCTGCAGCTGTGTCATAAAGGGCAAAAACATATGGAGTAGAAAGTAAACATAATGGAATCAGAAAGCCAAAAGTTGGTTCTTTGAAAGACTGATAAATTAGAAAAATATCTGACAAGATTAATCATGATACAAAGAGAAAAGCATGAATAAGTAATATTAGGAATGAAAAGGAAATTATTAACTACAAAAACAGTACAGATTTTTTAAAGGTACGAGGTTTATGATGGTCAGTTTTATGTGTCAGCTGGCTAGGCTACAGATGTTATTCAGTCAAACACTAACCTCTGTGTTGCTGTGAAGGTATTTTATAGATTGTTTTAAAGTTCATAACCACTTGACTTAAAGTAAGAGATTATCCTAGATAGTCTGCGTGGTCCCAACTCAATCAGTTGAAAGGCCTTAAGAGCAGAACTGATACTTCCCTGAGGGAGAAGAAGATACCACACCTGTAGATCGCAGCTTCCACTCAGGCCTTGAGATTTTTCAGCCTGCCTTTCCTGAAGGTCTCCCCTATGGTTTGGGATTTCAGACCTGCCTTGCAGCCTCTATAATCATGTGAGTCAATTTCCTGCAATAAATCAATATATATATTCCTACCGGTTCTGTTTCTCCAGTTGAACACTGACTAATTCGAGACTTTTAAACAGCTTTCTGACAGTAAGTTGGAAAATTCTGATGAAATGAACAAGTTTCTACAAAAAAGACTAAAATACTTAGGAATAAATTTAACAAGTGCAAAACTTATTCTTTGAACTATAAAACATTGTTGAAAGACATACAAGAAGACCCAAATAAATGGAAAGATCCTGTGTTTAGGGAGCAGAAGACTTACTAGTGTTAAGATGGCAATACCCCCCAAAGTGATCTACAGATTCAATGCTATCCTATCAAAACCCCAGCTGGCTTCTTTGTAGAAAATGACAAGCTAATCCAAATGTTCATATAGAAAATCAAGGGACTTGGAATAGCCAAAATAATATTGAAAAAGAACAAGTTAGAGGATTCATACTTCCCAATTTAAAAACTACAAAGCTATATTAATCAAGACAGTGTGGTACTGGCATGAGAATAGACCTACAGATCAATGGAATGGAGAGTCCAGGAATAAACTCTCACACTTAGAGTCAGTTGATTTTTGACAAGGTGCCAGGGCAAGTAAATGGGGAGAGGATAGTCTTTTCCACAAACGGTGCTGGGACAACTGGAAACATGCAAAAGAATGAAGTTGGACCCCTCTCTCACACCATATAAAAAAATCCCAGCTGTATCAAGACATAAATGTAAACTAAAACGACAAGTCTTAGAAGAAAACGTAGGTGTAAATCTTTGTGACCTTGGACTAAGTAATGGTTTCTTAGGTATAGCACCAGAAGCACAAGCAAAATAGGTGAAGTCAACATCATCAAAATTTAAAATGTTTGTGCTTCAAAGAACACCATCAAGAACGTGCAAAAAACAAGCCACAGAAAGCGAAAAGTTTTTTGGAAATCATATATCTGATAAGGAACTTGTAACTAAAATGTATCAACAACTCTTAAAATATATCAACATTTCTCCAAAAGACAATATACAAATGGCCAATCCGCACATGAAAAGATACTCAAGATCCTTAGGCAACAGGAAAATGCAAATCAAATCACAAAGAGATACAACTTCACATCCACTAGGATGGCTATAATGAAAAAGATGGACAATAACAAGTGTTGGTGAGGATGTGGAGCAATTGGAACCCTCAGACTTCACTGGTAGGATGTAAAATGGTGGTTTGGCAGTTCTTCAAAAGGTTAAACACAGAGTTATCAAATGACCCAGCATTTCCACAACTAGGTATAAACCCAAGAGTAATAAAAACATGTCCACACAAAAACTCGTACATGATTGTTCAGAGCACCGTTAAACTATAATAGCCAAAAAGTTAAAACAACCCAAATGTCCATCAAGTGACGAATGGATAAACAAAAGTGGTATGTCCATACAACGGAATATTATTTGTTAATAAAAAGAAATGAAGTACTGATACATGTTACAACATGGGCAAACCATGAAAACATGCTAAGTGAAAGAAGCCAGTCACAAAAGATGATATTTTATATGACTTCATTTCTATGAAATGTCCAGACTAGGCAAATCTATAGAGACAGAAAGTAGATTGGTAGTTGCCTCGGGCTGGAGGTTAAGAGGAAAGGGTGGGTGGCTGACTGCTGATCGGTACAGGGTTTCTTTTTGGAGTGACAAAAATATTCCAGAATTGGATAGTGGCAGTGATTGCACAACTCTAAATTTACTAAAAACCACTGAATTGTACACTTTAAGTGGGTGAACATATGGTATGTGAATTATGTCTCTATAAAGTTGTTATAAAGAAACTGAATCAAGGTACAAACTTCCAGTTGCAAAATAAATGAGTCATGAGTATGAAATGTACAGTGTGAAGAATATTGTCAATAATTATGTAATATCTTTGATGATAGATCATAACTAGATTTATGTGATCATTTTGAAATGTATAAAAATATCAAATCACCACATTGTGTTAATGGGAACCAACAAAGTATTGTAGGTCAATTATACTTCAAAACAAACAAACTTATAGACAAAGAGATCAGATTTGTGGTTACCAGAGGTAGGGGTGGAAGGGAGGGGAATTGGATGAAGACAGTCAAAAGGTACAAACTTCTAGCTGTAAGATACAAATAAGTACTAGGGATGTAAAGTACAACATGATATATATAATTAACACTGCTATGTTATATCAATATATGGAAGTTAAGAGAGTAAATCCTGAGTTCCCATCACAAGAAAAATATTTAATTTCTTTAATTTTTTATCTATATGAGATGATGGATATCCATTGAACTTACTGTGATAATTACTTCGTGTTGTAAGTCAAATCATTGGGTTTTTTTGTTTTAATTTATATTTTTATTTTTGGCTGGTTGGGTCTTAGTTGCTGCACGCAAGCTTTCTCTAGTTGCAGTGAGTGGGGGCTACTCTTCATTGCAGTGCGCAGGCTTCTCATTGTGATTGCTTCTCTTGTTGCGGAGCACAGGCTCTAGGTGCACGGGCTGCAGTAGTTGTGGCACACAGGCTCAGAGTTGTGGCTCGCAGGCTCTAGAGTGCAGGCTCAGTAGTTGTGGCTCACGGGCTTAGTTGGTCCACGGCATGTGGGATCTTCCTGGACCAGGGCTCGAATCCATGTCCCCCGCATTGGCAGGCGGATTCTTATCCACTGCGCCACCAGGGAAGTCCAAAATCATTATGTTTTACACCTTAAACGTATACACTACTGTACATCAGTTATGTCTCAGTAAAACTGGAAGAAAAAAACTGACTCAGAGAAATAGAAAATCAGAATAGTCTATAACCAATTTTAAAAATTAGTCTATATTTAAAATTCTGGGTGAAGAGTCAAGTTCTATCACAGTCAAGTAAAAGTTACAATCTTCTACAAATTATCTAGTATAGCAGCTGTCATAACCTTGATGTTGAAACCTGACAAGGTTAGTTTTAAGAAGGAAAATTTTACACCAATCTCACTCATGAACATAGAAGAAAACTCCTAAGTAAAAATTTTAGTAGACCAGATCCAACATTGTATTAAAAAAGATACTATTTAGTTACCCCATTGACTTAATCACAAGAATACAACATTGGTCTAACATTAGAAAGTCAGTTAATGTTGATTAAAGAACAAAAAGTGTCTTGCATAAAGCATGTATCTTGTTTAAAGGGATTTGTGCATTCTGGTTTTTTCTGACACTGTATGGAATTAACTTTGTATGTTACTGAACCATTTCACCCAAGGGCTCATAAACACATTAATGTATTTTTATAATGAGGGTAATAATATAAGCATAAATTTAAACTACTGCCAAACTTTTTTAGAAAGAGAAGAATGCTATTGTTCTTTTAGTTGTAAATTGTATTTCATTTAATAGACCTCTGTCTGCTGTTTTCTCCGGGTATACTTTTCTGTCGGATTGTATGTGTCTCTATTATATCAATAATTGTAGATGCTTGTTGATCTCACCAAGAGACCCAGGTTTTCAAGGTCAAGAGCTGTGTTGGTGGGGTGATTGGCATAGTTGATACAGTGTAATCTTTGGAACTTGGTAGGCTTAGGGTTTATATACTGCCTCTACCACTGGAGCTATGTGGCTCTGGGAACCACTTAATCTCTCTAACTCCTATGGTCCTTGTAATAAAAATGACAGCAATTTTTTGTTCAGACCTCCTTCTCAGAGAACCATCCCAGGATAGTCACATATCACTTGCTGTCACTTCCGCATGCCACACTGCACCAGAATTGCATGACTGACCCCAGGATTCAGTGATCCCATCTCTCTCCCTGATATTTGGAATTTGGACACAGAAGCAGAATTCTTTAATCTGAGGAACTGAACTGCACAGGGATGTAGAGGCAAGTGTCACAGCAACAGCAGGGGAAAGCTAAAGTTGTGGGAAAGCAGAGAAACAAGTGAGCAGAAGAAATACATCTAGTGAAAGTGGAAAAGTGAGGAAAAAATTAAAAACAAACAAAAATTGTCAGGTCAACATTATCTCAGCTGCTTTTGTGGCCCTGATAACAGAAGTCCTAGAGAAAGGAAGATGAAGAGTGGCACTCCAATTCTTCAAGAATAGCGGGGAGCATATCAGTGGCAAATAAACTGTTCACGGAAGGTTGGAAACTGGCCCCCACAAAGAGTTCTCTGAAAACAGCTGGATTGGAATTGATATAGATGGGTTTTCTAAAGAGGGAGGAGTACTAATGTGCATCAGTGAGATAGAGACTCTTCATGACATCATTTCTCCCTCAAATGTTATAGCAGCTGATTAAAAATAGCTGGGCATATCTAGAATATATAAAGAACTCATAAACTCAGCATTAAAAACAAAACATGTAATCCAATTAGAAATTAGGAAAACACATTTCACTAAGAGGGTATACAAAAGGCAAACACATGAAAAGATGTTCAAGAGCATTAATTACTAGAGAAGTGCAAATTGAAACTACAGTGAGATTTCACTGTACACCTATCAGAACAGCTAAAATGAAATATAATGATAACACCAAATACAAGTAAGGATGCAGAGAAACTGGATCACTCATGTTGCTGGTGGGAACGTAAAATGGTACAGCCACTCTAGAACACAGTTTGGCAGTTCCTTTCAAAACTAAAAGGGACTTACTGTATAACCAGCAATTGCCCTCTTAAGCACTTATCCCCGAGAAATGAAAACTTATTTTCACACAGGAACTTGTGCATGATTGTTCATAGCAGGTGTTTTTTTTGTTTTTGTTTTTTTTGGGTTCGCGGGCCTCTCACTGTTGTGGCCTCTCCCGTTGCGGAGCACAGGCTCCGGACGCGCAGGCTCAGCGGCCATGGCTCACGGGCCCAGCCGCTCCGTGGCATGTGGGATCTTCCCAGACCGGGGCACGAACCTGTGTCCCCTGCATCGGCAGGCGGACTCTCAACCACTGTGCCACCAGGGAAGCCCGCAGCTTTATTTTTAAAGCACCAAACTGGCAACTACCCAAATGTCCCTCAATGACTAAATAGTTAATCTATAGTACATTCATACCGTGCATGGTATACTACTCAGCAATGAAAAGGAACAAACTATTGATGCAAGCAACAATTTGGAATAACCTCAAGAAAATTAAGCTGAGTGAAAGAAGACCAATCTCAAAAGGATGTTTTGATTCCATTCCACTGCATGATTCCATTTATGTAACATTCATGAAATAATAGAGAGATGGAAAATATATTAGTGGTTGCCAGAGTTAAAGATGGGGAAAGGAGGGATGTGGCTATACAGGGATGAGTAAGAGCAAGTCTTGTGGTGATGGTATAATTGAGTATCTTGATCATGGTGGTGGTTTCACAAGGATTTACACGTGATAAAATTACATAGAGGTACACACACACACAAGTAACTCTGTACTGGTAAAATCTGAATAAGTTGTTCAGATTATTTCAGTGTCAATTTCTTGGTTTTGATATTATACTATCGTTCTGTAAGATATTAACACTGGGAGGGGATATCTAAGGATATCCTACAACTGGAAATGAAAAACCCTAATGAGGCATTTGTAGCTAATGGAAGAGAATTTATATTCCTGACCCCCAACAGGGTTATAAGCTCTTTAAGAGCAGACCTGGGTTTCCTTGTATTGTCAGAACCTGGCACAGTGCCTCTCCTAAACAAGATAATCAGTATGTTTCTCTTGTCAACAAATGATAAAGGATTTTGAGCTCACAACTGAGAAATCTGAATGTTCTTTGTCAATATACCAAGAAAAATATTCATTATATTTTTGAAGTCATTTTATGATTAATTTGCAGAAGAATAAAGGGATAGTAAGAAGAAAACTTTATTAGGAATGTCCACAAGAATTAAAACATACCAAACCTCTTCAACTCAAACACCGGTGCACAACCAATAAAAAAGATGAAAGAATATCATCATACATCATTTTGACAAAACAAGACGGTCCAAGTTCTTGTCACAAAATATTGCATGATGACATGCTTCCTGTCAAATGACTAACTGGATGAAAATACCACATTGCTTTTGTGTCCTTAGGAATATATAGGTCACATTAATTCTTGAGTTTGAGAACAATTCATCTACGATAACTT